ACTCTTAAATTGTCCCATAAGAAAGTCAACATAACAGGATTACTTTTGGATTATTGTGTAGGAAAAGTATTGTTATTATACAGTAGTAGAATATTTGTAGAAATCTTTTATAGGTGGTTATTATATGTTTTTGTCATTTTTCATGTGAGAAGAATAAAGTGCTAAGCACTAAGAAAAATTGTGATTCTGTCAGTTCTTAACCCCATCATAAAAAATACAACATTTTTAGCACTTGTAAAGAACTTCTATATCATAGGAGGCTGGCAGAATTAAAGAATTAAGTATGACATCTGTGATTCTGAGATTTTTTTATCTTAATTAAAATACCTTTTTTGTTATACTTTCTTTTTAACATGCTTATTTTAATTTGCTTTTCATTTATCTTGTTTTAAGATTGTAATTAGGAAGCACTCAAGTGAGGAAGCTCAGGTTAGCTTGCTCAGTATTAATCCATTATTTTTCCTTTGGAAATGCATATATTGTATAGGCAAACTACTTATGTGTATTGTAATTTAAATTTTTCTAAAATGTGTACCCCTTACATATTTACATTATACCCCTAACTAAAATGCTGCTTATGTAATTGATTTTTACAGACCTAAAAATATTGAATAAATATTGCTTGTTATGTTTATTTATTTACTTAATTTAAAAAAAGATTTATTTATTTGAGAGGGGAGGAGAGAGAGAGAGCGCGAGTGAGCGCGCGGGCATGTGCTCACAGGAGCTGGGTGAGGGAGAAGCAGACTCCCCGCTGAGCAAGGAGCCCCAGGTCGATCCCAGGATGTTGGGATCAGGACCTGAGCCAAAGGCAGATGCTGAACCACTCTTAACGGACTGAGCCATGTAGGCACCCCTGCTTGTTACTTTTAAACAAGCTTTGGGGAGGAAATAAATTCTTTTTTTGGGGGGGGTATTCATGTTTTAGTAATCTCTTCACCCATCATGGAGCTTGAACTCATGGCCCTGAGATTGAGTCTCATGCTTTACCAACTGAGCCAACCAGGAGCCCCAGGGAGGAAACAAATTGTGATTTTAGTATTGATTGTTTCTTACGTCTTGTAGAGATTCACGGTTTCTCTATAGTTGTTGAGCAAATAGTAATACTTGAACCAAGGAAAGTTATTTTATTCTAATACTCTTTTCCCCCCAAAGTTTTATTGGCTGTTTAGGAGAGATAAGCCATAGAGAATCTTTTTTTTGCAACATATCAATCGTTGTTAAAGTATGACTGTGTTCTATTTAACTAGTTAGTTTTGGGGCACCTGGGTGGCTCAGTTAGGCATATGATCGGTTTGATCTCAGGGTCCTGGGATCATGCTCCACACTCAGTGGGGAGTCGGCTTGAAGACTCTCCCTTTCCCTCTCCCCTCACTTGTGCGCTCTCCCTGTCTCTCTCTTTCTCTCAAATAAGTAAATCTTAAAAAAAAAAGAAGAAATGTTTATTTTATTGGTTAGTTTCTCTCAAGTTACCCATTGCTATTTATAATGTTTCTTCTTACTCACCAAGAACATATAAAAGGGGGATTTTGTTCTGGAAAATTTTAGCCAAATTCTCTTAGAATGTTTAAAATTTAAATGTAAAGGCAGTTAGAATGTATTGTTATCAAAGCAACTACTTGTTTTTTAAATTATAGCATAATTCTGAATAGTTCAACAATTGATAAAATGAATATCTAAGTGCTGCTTAAGCCCATTTCCCTGAGAACAAGACAAAATTGAAACTCCATGAATATACATTAGTGTGTTTTCTTTATGTAATTCTGAATTTTATGTAAATGAATTTGTAGAATTAGTCACTGTGGAAGGAATCCTTTTTGTCCTTCCCACGTGAATCTCCCACAGGTACAGTTGGGTTGTCCTTCTGGGTTACTTTAAGGGCACTTTAGCAGTTTTAAAAACTTAAGTACTAATTTCATAGCCAGTGTCAGCTGGATTTATTGAAGTAGGTCAGACTCTGGATAGAAACTTGTTTCTCAACCCTAAAGAGAGTCATTATCCATTCTTCTATTTGTTAGAGAATGGTAATAAATTCTTCCACATTGACCACACGTCTAGAGCAATTTCAGAAAATCTAGATAGTTGGATTTTTTCAGGTGTAGAAAATTACCTAAGATCCTCTCTGACTTTTATTATCCCAGTGGAACTAAACAAAAACAAAACAAACAAAAAATAGAAATCAACTCCTCCCCCCAACAAAAGAAGCCATAGACAATGGTTATATTCCTTAAAGTAGAAATACACATTCTTTTTTTTTTTTTTTTTTAAAGATTTTATTTATTTATTTGTCAGAGAGCACAAACAGGGGAAGTTGCAGGCAGAGGGAGAAGCAGGCTCCCCACTGAGCAGGGTGCGCAATGCGATGCAATGCGGGCTTGATCCCACAACCCTGAGATCATGACCTGAGCCAAAGGCAGACACTTAACCGACTGAGCCACCCAGGTGTCCCAAAACACACATTCCTATCCTATAAAATGCACATGCAAAAGTTGCAGTTCACTGGGGGTATTTTAACTTCAAAAAAGAAAAAAAAGGTTATTCTCCCTCTCCTGTTCAGTTAATTAAATAAGTTTTTTTTGTTTTTTAAAGATTTTTATTTATTTATTTGACAGAGAGAGACACATCGAGAGAGGGAGCACAAGCAGGGGGAGTGGGAGAGAGAAGCAGGCTTCCTGCAGAGCAGGGAGCCCGACGCGGGGCTCGATCCCAGGACCCTGAGATCATGACCTGAGCCAAAGGCAGACGCTTAACGACTGAGCCACCCAGGTGCCCCTAATTAAATAAGTTTTTAATGAAAGTATATATACCAATGTTTCCTTTGAACTCTGGAAAATCATATTCTCTTGTTCATAGGAACTAAAATTCTTAACTTGGGTAGCAGTTAGGAAATAGTATAGTCATGTGACAAAATAGGTGATACTGAAAATATAAGTATTATGAGAAGTAAATAATCAGTGAACAATGGAGGCTCCTGGGTGACTCAGTCAATTAAACATCTGATTTTGGCTCAGATCATGATCACAGTGTCCTGGGCTTTGTGGTCTGTGGGGAGCCTGCTTCTTCCTCTCCCTTTGCCCCCTCTCCCTGCTCGTGTTCTCCCTCTATCTCTCAAATAAATAAAAAAAAAATCAGCGAACAATGTGTTTTAATTTATAAGGAAGGTTTCATGGAGAATTTGGAATTTGAGGTGATTCCTAAAGATTGGATATGAATTAATGGAAGGGATGTATAAACAGGGAGTAAGCAGCATGGAATTTTAAGGTCTCTGACAATGACTTAAAGATGTTTTGGGCAAGAACCAATAAATGGGCATTGTATTAGAATAGTCAGCATAATTTGGTCTGCCATCACAAATTGCTTAATGTTGCACATATGGTAAGTGGAAAATCATGGACTCAAAATTTCAAATCTTTTGAACTTAAAATCCTTGCTATATCATACTGATTGTATCTGTATTCTTGCTTCAGCGTCATTCACTGAGAATCTACCAGTTTGCCATTACATCTGAGAATACAAAAATAAAAAAGACAGTATTTTTTGAGAGAGGGACAGGTGTGTGTGTATGTGTGTATATGTGTGTGTGTATACGTGTGTCTGTGTACTGTGGGTAATTGCTTGTGATAGTCACTCTATTTTTTGCTTTGAAGATGTTAATCTGCTTTTCCCGTGATTATCTCAACAGTGGGGATAGCTCCTTGGGTGAAGATGCTAGCCATTAAAGAATATTGATATAATGTAGTCATTACATGCAAAAAGCCCTACTTAATGTAGTGTTCCAAAACTGGAGAAAATCTGGGTTGGATTTGAATGAGTGTTAATATATCATTCTCCAATGTGGCATTAATTAATAAGTAATGGATTATTAAGTATATTTGACTGTATGTGATTTTCAGTTGCTGATTTAAAAACCTGTGACTACTGTACATGTCTGGGCTTCTCACAATTTTGTAGTTACCTGCTGGTTAAATAGTGGATGTTTACTATTTATTAAATGGAATTACCTTTATGTCATTTAACATGACTTAAGGTTAATAACCTACTTAACTAAGCTGTGACCAATATAAAGTAGGAGTTAAAAGCATGGATTATGGAGACAGTTTGCCTGAGTTCAAATCCAAACTCTGCTACTTGATGCCTGGGTGAATTGCCTCTGTTTTTACAGCTGTACATTGGGGATAATAATAATACTTATTTCAGTGCTGTATCTGGCACATAGTAGGTGCTATCAGTTGTTAGTTATTAAAGATTCATTATCCCTATTAGCAATTTTGAAATAAAAAAAAAGCTGTAAACCGACAGTCTTTGTATCAGTCATTTAACAGTCAGCAAAGCCTGACCTAACAAATGTCTTTGTGACATATAGTCTGGTTTTGGTTCTATACTTGGGCTTTGGTTCTATATTTATATTTAGTTTGCAAAAGTCCCTTGTAAAATATAGATGCTCATTATTGTTTTAGATACTTACTGGACAGTATAATTGATAGTCTTTCTCATGAAGTAAAAATAAACTTGAATATTTTATAATTAGTATTATTAACTAATTATTGTTAACAATAGCTTGGATTTCTTTTTAAAAGATTTTATTTATTTGATACAGAGAGAGAGGGAGAGAGCCAGTACAAGCAGGGGGAGCGGCAGGCAGGGGAGAAGCAGCCTCCCCTCTGAGCAAGGAGCGGATGTGGGCTTGATCCCGGGACCCTGGGATCATGACCTGAGCCAAAGGCAGATGCTCAACTGACTGAGACACCCAGGCGCCCCTGGGTATATCCTGTTTTTAATGTGCCGAAGTTTAGGGAGGTTAAGTAGTTTGTCCAAGGTCACACAGTCACTCAGTGTACTAGCAGTGCTAGGATTCACACCTCATCTCTGCTGTTTCGGTAAATGTCTCTGTTCTTTAACCGACACTGCCTTTCTATAATTTAGAAAATTTTCATAAGGAAATAAATATCATTGATACATTAAAGTATATTGTTGTCTGGCTCTTTTTACCTTTCATCTAGGTGCTGGAAAACCCCCTATGTTTGGTGATTATGAAGCTCAGAGACACTGGCAAGAAATTACTTTTAATTTACCAGTCAAACAATGGTATGGATCATTTTAACTTGATTTTATTGTTTATCATAGTTAATACAGATTATTTAAGATAATTTAAAGGAAAGTATGCTATTCATCTTCACCATCCTCATTTTCTTGTATTACCTTGCATATTATAGGCTCATCTTTGAAATTTTATACTCCTGAAAGTTACCCATGTACTCAGCAGCTAGAATATGCTAAGAACTTTGAGGATAGAACACTATATACCTTATAGGCTCCTCTGGACATAAACTGAAGAGCCATCCTGGGCTAACAGTATTTTTCCTGGTGGTTTTGCAGAGTTTCTTTATTAGGAGTGAAAGAGATATGAATGAGCAGTAGCTTAGTGGTAAGGAATGTTGGTGCTCAAGTTGGACTGCCTGAGTTCAGATCCTGTCTCTACTATTTACTAGCTGTGTGAGCTTTGATGAAATTATTTAACTTTCTCTGCCATGGTTTTATCACTTGTAGAGTGGAAATGATAGAGTACATATTTCACTGGATTATTATGAGGATTGAATAAAATGATACATGTAAAGCACCAGTGTCTGCAACAAATGAGCTTTCAGGAAATGTTAGGTGTGGTTATATCTTTACAGAAATTTGTGCCTTTGTCATTTTTATCAAACATATTCTGGTAACAATTGATGACTTTTTTATTGACTTATTGGATGCCTAATAGATTCTTTTATGAGAGACTGGCTACACAAACTGTTTGCATTGTTCTGTTGATTGCTTTAGTCACTGCTTTTTTTTTTTTTTTCTGTATGTTGATAAATTATTCGAGTCATTAGAATCCAAAAGAACCATTTCATGGGATTTTATGTGCGGAAATTATATGGTACCTTTTTTTTTCAAAGTTAAAATACATTTATTATTATTTTTAAATTGAAATATAATTGACATAAAAAAATCCTGTTAGTTTCAGGTGTACATCATAGTGATTTAATATTTTTATACTTTATGAAATGATCCCCATGATAAGTCTAGTCACCATCTGTCACCATACAAACTTATTATAACATTATTGACTATATTCCCTGTGCTGGGGATTATATCCCCATGATTTACTTATTTTATAAATAGTTTGTACCTCTTAATCCCCTTCACCTATTTTGTCCACCCCACAACCCCTTCGCACTCTGATAACCAACAGTTTGTTTCCTGTTTATATGAATCTGTATTTGTTTTGTTTTGTTCATTTTTTATCTAGATTCCATATATAAGTGAAATCACACAGTATTTGTCTTTCTCTGTCTGACTTATTTCACTCAGCATAATACCCTCTAGGTCCATCCATGTTGTTGCAAATGGCAAGAATTTGTTCTTTTTTTGTGGCTGAGTAATATTCCACTGCATATATTCAGTTGACCCTTTTTTTTTTAAGTTTTATTTATTTAAGTGATCTTTACACCCAACATGGGGCTTGAACTCACAACCCTGAGACCAAGAGTTGGATGCTCTACCGACTAGCCAGCCAGGCGCCCCTATTTAGTTGACCCTTGAACAACACAGGTTTGAATGAACTGCAAAGGTCCACTTATATGCGGATTTTTAAAATAAATATAGTACAGTACTATCAATGTATTTTCCCTTCCTTATGATTTTAATAGCATTTTCTTTTCTCTAACTTACTTTATTGGAAGAATACAGTATATGATACATAAAACATACAAAATATGTGTTAATCAACTGTTTATGTTACTGGTAAGGCTTCCAGTCAACAGGCTATTAATAATTAAGTTTTGGGGAGTCAGAAGTTATATATGGATTTTCAACTGTGTCAGGTCGAGGCCCCTAACCTCTGTATTGTATACTTGTATACCACATCTTCTTTATCCATTTATCTAGCAATGGATACTTAGGTTGGTTCCGTATCTTGGCTATTGTAAATAATGCTACAGTGAATATAGGGATGCATATATCTCTCGAATTGGTGTTTCCGTTTTCTTTGGATAAATACCTAGAAGTAGAATTGCTGGATTTTATGCTAGTTCTATTTTTAATTTTTTGAGGAAACTTCTTGCTGTTTTCCATAGTGGCTGCACCAAGTTATATTCCCAGCAGTTCATGGATTCCCTTTTCTCCATGTCCTTACCAACACTTGTTTCTTGTCTTTCTGATATTAGCCAATCTGACCAGTGTGATGAGATGTTATCTCATTGTGTGGTTTTGATTTGCATCTTTCTGATTCTTAGTGATGTTGAGCATCTTTTCATGTGCCTGTTGGTCATCTGTATGTCTTTTTTGGAAAAATGGCTATTTAAGTCCTCTGCCCGTTCTTTAATTTGGTTGGTTGTTTTTTGATATAAGTTTTGTAAGTTCTTTATATATTTTGGATATAACCCCTTACTGGATATATGATTTGCAAATATCTTCTCCCATTCAGTTGGTTGCCTTTTTGTTTTGTTGTTGATTTCCTTCATCGTACAAAAGCTTTTTAGTTTGATGTAATCCTGTTTGTTTATTTTAGCTTTTGTTGTCCTTGCCTTAGGGGATTGGTCCAAAAATACAGTGCTAAGACCGATGTCAAAGAGCTTACTGCTTATGTTTTCTTCTAGTAGTTTTGTGGTTTCAGGTCTTATATTCAAGTTCTTAACACATTTTGAATTTATTTTTGTGTATGGTGTAGGATAGTGGTCCAGTTTCATTCTTTTGCATGTAGCTGTCCAGTTTTCCCAACACCATTTATTGAAGAGATTGTCATTTCCCCATTGTATATTCTTACATCCTTTGTCATAGATTAATTGACCTTATGTCCATAGGTTTATTTCTGGGCTCTCTATTCTGTTCCACTGATCTTTGTGTCTGTTTCATGCTAGTACCATACTGTTTTGATTATTATAGCTTTGATAGTTTGAAATCAGGGTGTGTGATACCTCCACCCTTGTCCTTTCTCAAAATTGCTTTGGCTATTTGGGGTCTTTTCTGGTTCCATAAACATTTTAGGGTTCTTTGTTCTTTGTCACTGCTTTTATATAATTCATTTATGAGAGAGTTTCATGCACAAACTTCATATTAAACTCCCTATTAATAGGTTGGTAGGCTGTACCCTAGTCAGAAACATTTAAAATAGAACCAGATAAATATTTGGCACTATTCTTTATTGTACTATTTTGAGCATCTTTCATATCCTCATACAATGATTTAACCAATGAGTATTATTGTTCCAATTACTAGTACATTCTTAATGTGTTTTTCTCTTGCTTGATTGATAGAATAAGGTAATATTTGCTGAGAGAAACCAGCTCATTGCTTTTGAGTTTTGTAATTCTTTTTTATTCCTTCGTAAAAATTACATGGAAAAGATAATTGTATTTTTGGCTATTCTATGGTAAGTACTTCTCAACAAAGATTTTGATACAAAAGTAATTGTGATATTTAGTATTGAAAGATTACAGAAAAGTGATAAATTGCAGCATTCGGCTTAATGTTATTGGAGAAAACATTGATTCCAGGAGTGAGAATATAATCTCAATTCAGTATGGAGGGTAGGTTATTCTAATACATATATCTCATTTTTCAGTTTTTTGTACCAATTGTCTCCTACTTTGGCCCAGATAATCAAGAGTTGATTACATGTGTACATTTTCATTCTTTTTCTTTGTTAAAAACCAGAAATGTATACCTCAGATATAATTATGTGATTCAGTTTTAATTGTGGTATGTGAGCCTTAAATATTATGAAATGTCTAAAGTAATCGTGGTGGTAAATTTTATAATGTTGAAATCTTTATTAGGCAGTGTGTAGCATAAGAATCCTGAATGAAAGAACCACATCTTTCTTGAATGAAAGAACCACATCTCAGAAACAGAGACATAAGGTATAAAGAAGTATGATTTATCATTAGTCGATTGTGCAGTACCTCACAAAGTTCGTAAGAAATCTAAGAAATATGATTTAGTATAATAAATGTCAGAAATTTTCTCTTTATTAGTGGATAGACTAGAAAAGCCAAAAATGTACACCTGACAATTCTAAGAGAAACTAATCTGTTTCAGATTCATGTTTGAACGGTGTGATTTCTTATTTTTTACTTCAGTTTTCCAAGAGTGAAGTCTTTCTCTTTTTACCTAGAGTAAGCTATAGTGTAATTAGTCAAAACTCTTTCTAAGTGACATAGTTGTTTAAAATATGATATCAGGATTGGTCATGTTAATTTTAAAAGTGTTAGTTTTTTTGTTTTTTTTAAAGATTTTATTTATTTATTTGACAGAGAGAGACACAGCGAGAGCAGGAACACAAGCAGGGGGAGTGGGAGAGGGAGAAGCAGGCTTCCCGCTGAGCAGGGAGCCCGATGCGGGGCTCGATCCCAGGACCCTGGGATCATGACCTGAGCCGAAGGCAGGCGCTTAACAACTGAGCCACTCAGGCGCCCCTAAAAGTGTTAGTTTTGATAATTCTAAATTAAAAGAAAACTTTTATTATTTATTCATTGTGTATTATTTTAAGAAGGAAAATAGAACTTATTTCTTTAATTTTATGATAAATTTTATAATGAAAATTCCTTATGTGTAGAATCAGGACTTTTGGCATCAAGTAATAGACAACTTGAATAATAGTAGCTTAAGCAATAAAATAATTCAGTTATGTCAAGAAGTAGGTCATTGTAATGCTGGTAAAGTGGCTCAGTAATAACAATCCAGGGCTCAGGCTTTTTCCATTCCTTCCTCTCTGCCATTCTTTCTTCTTGGCATGTTGGCTTTTCATCCTGAGTGTACTCACTCCATGGTCAGTAGATGATTGCTCAGGCTACAAGCATTGTAACTTTATACAACCATGTTCAAGGCAAGAATAATAGGAATACCATCTTTCTACCTTTCTTTTTGTCAAGGAGCAAAATCTTTCCCACATTAATTAATTAATTTTTAAAGATTTATTTATTGATTTGACATAGAGAGTGAGCATAAGCAGGGGAAGCTGCAGAGGGAGAGGGAGAAGCAGGCCTCCCGCGGAGCAGGGAGCCCGATGCGGGGTTCGATCCCAGGAACCTGGGATCACAACCCAATCCGAAGGCAGTTGCCCAACCAACTGAGCCACCCAGGCTTCCTTCTTTCCCACATTTAAAGCAATCATTATTAAAAAGAAATGGTTGGCTCAGTGCAGGCATGGTTTATACCTGGGGTTAGGGGAAGAGTCCGCCTGCCCTGAGCTTGTTGCTTTCTAAATGAAATCACAGTTTTATAAATCAAGAGAATTGGGGGGCACCTGAGTGGCTCAGTCGTTAGGCATCTGCCTTCGGCTCGGGTCATGGTCCTGGGGTTCTGGGATCGAGCCCCACATGGGGCTCCCTGCTTGGCCAGGAGCCTGCTTCTCCCTCTCCCACTCCCCCTGCTTGTGTTCCCTCTCTCTCTGTGTCCCTCTCTCTGTCAAATAAATAAATATTTTTTTTTTTTTAAAGAGAATTGGTGGGCATAGCTGTTTATTTCAGCATTGTTTATAGTATTGAGAAACCTGAAATACTCTAAAATATCTTTTAGTAGAGGAATGATTAAATAAAGTATATTTTCCCTGTGCACATGTTTTTTCTAGGTAGATTCTTAGAAGTGGAATCTCTGAAGTAGTTTTAATGGATACCAACACCAGAATATCTTCTTTCCACATACATTTATCAACACTTAATAACACCGGACTTTTAAAATTTCCATTTCCTTGAGTACTTGTGATATTGGGCATCTTTTAGTATATTTGATGATCACCATATTTCTTCTCAAATTTGCATACTCATATTTTTTTTCCATGTTTTTGTTGGGTTGCTGATCTTTTTTATAATAATTTGTATGATTTTTATTTATTTTTATTTTTTATTTTTTTAAAGATTTTATTTATTTATTTACTTGAGAGAGAGAGAGAGAAACAGCATGAGAGCGGGGAGGGTCAGAGGGAGAAACAGGCTCCCCGCTGAACCAGAAGCCCAATGTGGGACTCGATCCCAGGACTCCGGGATCATGACCTGAGCTGAAGGCAGTCGCTTAACCAACTGAGCCACCCAGGTGCCCCAATTTGTATGATTTTTAAATAAAGTTACAGTAGTCTCCCATTACCCATGGGGCATAAGCTCAGTACCCCCAATGGATACCTGAAGCTATTGATAACACCAAACCCTATACGCTATGGTTTTTCCTATACATTCATACCAGTGATAATGTTTAATTCATAAATAAGCAGAGTAAAAGATTAATAACAACAGTTAGTAATAAAATAAAACATTTATAACAATGTACTATAATAAAAGTTACATGAATGTGTTTCTCTCTCAAAATATCTTACTGGACTGTACTCACTTTTCTTCTTCTTGTGATGATGTGAGATGATAAAATGTCTATGGGATGAGATGAAGTGAGATGAATGACATAGGCATTGTGATATAGCATTAAGCTACTGTTGACCTCCTGAGGATATGTGAGGAGGACAGTCTGCTTGCAGACTGCAGTTGACCACTGGTAACTGAAATCGCAGAGAGTAAACTGTGGATAAGAGAAGACTACTGTATATTAATTTTCTATGCTGTGTTAACAAATGACCACAAATGGTAATTACTTAAACACATATTTTTTAATCACAAAGGTTTTTTTAGGTCAAAAGTCTAGGTATGGCTTAGCTTGATATTCTGCTCAGGGCCTCAGAAGGCTGCATGCAATCCTGTTGTTAGCTGGGGCTCTAGCCTTCTCAGAGGTTCAACCAGAAGCGACCATTACCAAGGTACCTCTGGCTGTTGGCAGAATGAATTTTCTTTCATCTATAAGATGGGGACTTCAGTTTCTTGTTGGAAGCTACTCTCAGCTCCTAGAGTTTACTTGTAGTTTTTTGCCATGTGGCTTCTCCAATATGGTCACTTACTAAAACATGACAGCTTGCCTCTTCAAAGTCAGTGGAAGGAGCCTTCTCTAGCGTACTTGCTAACAAGATGGAATCTTACATATATATAAAACATAAGCACAAGAGTGACTTCTGTCACCTTTGCCATATTCTATTGGTTACAAGCAAGTCACAGGTCTTACCCACGCTGAAGGTGAGGGGGTTGTCCATACTCAGGGGTATGAACAACAGGAGATGGGCTTCATGATGGTGACCTTAAAGTCTGTCTGCTACAACAGTATTCTATGTTTTAATAATTTTTCTTGTGTGTGTATGTGTGTATGTATAAAATAAATATCTTCCTGTTTGTTCTTGTCTTTAAACTTTTCTTATGGTGTCTTTTTTCATATAAAAAATTTAAATTTTGATGTATAGAAGTTCTTTGAACTACTCTTGAAACCCTTCTGTAAGTTTGAAACTATTTCACTTTAAAATATATATATTTTAAAAGCAAAAATACCCATGACTGTGGGTTGTATATTAGAAAAAATTGTATCTTGAAGTTATTAATAACACTCTTGAATGTAATTTCATAATTCATATGGCAGCCAATTTTTTTCTGACAGAACATCTGAGATTATATGGGGATTTGTTGGGAAAATACATTTCAACATATTGATAGCATTTATACAACTTTTCAGATATATCCAAAATATATAAAGCAGGAGAATTAACTAGTTGCTTTGTTTCTACTGGTAGATTTTGCAGCTTTACTTGAAACATTTATTTATTCTTTAAATATTTTATTTATTTATTTGAGAGAGTGTGTGCGAGAGAGAGAGAGAGGGAGAAGGAGCAGGGGAGAGGGGTAAATGGACAGGGAGAAGCAGACTCCCCGCTGAGCAGGGCGCCTGACAGGCTGGATACCAGGACCCTGGGATCATGACCTGAGCCAAAGGCAGACGCTTAACTGACTGCGACACCCAGGCACCCTACTTGAAACATTTTAAAGCTACTTTTTCCATAAAGGTTGTTAGCCCTGTCATTCTTTCTTCCCAGTTCAACTAGTGACTTTACTGTTAGTATGTATCTTTGCTGTCAGTGCCTCTTTTACTTATCTCCAGAGAATCTCAAGGTTAAAGTAAACAAAAAATAGCTTTTGTCTTATAAGAAACAGAAAACCAAATGAAATTGTATTGGTCAAAGTGGTTTTCCATTGCTAGATCCATTTCCAGTAGTTTTGTGGCTAATAGGCAGTTAGAACTACTATTATGTATTTGTTGTATGTCAGGCAATGATTTAACAGCTTTATGTATTTAACCCAATCCTTCAACAACTCTGTGAGGTTGATGCAATAAAACTTTATGCCAGTGTACCTGGTAATAAGGTGAATTTGGAAATAACACAATTGGTGCCTATCTTCAGAGGGTACCAGAGAAGTGAGTCCTCTGGTCTCCACTCTCAGCCTGGCCCAGTTTCCCAGATTCAAGCTGTCAAAAGGGGCTCCAACTAACCTGGAGATTCTTGGATTATCTACCTCTTGGCTTCAAGTCCCAGCCAGATATAGGACGTAGGGTGGTTCACATGGATGTCGCTCCTGGAGTGACAACTACTGCCAGATGGTATATACTGTACTACCCTATGCCCAGATCTCTTGGCTGTGCAGCATGCCTTGATCATTTTATTAATCCTCATCCCTTCCATACAAACCTACAATTTATGTGACTAAGCAAAGCAGACCTTCTGAAGATGAACAAGAGATTATTTAATGAGATTGAATTTTTTTTTATTTTTTATTTTTTAAAGATTTTATTTATTTATTTGACAGAGACACAGCAAGAGAGGGAACATAAGCAGGGGGAGTGGGAGAGGGAGAAGCAGGCTCCCGGCTGAGCAGGGAGCCCGATGTGGGGCTCGATCCCAGGACCCTGGGATCATGACCTGAGCTGAAGGCAGACGCTTAACGACTGAGCCACCCAGGCACCCTTGAATGTTAATTTAAAAGAAAAAATTTTAATCCCAAATTAAGAGATTGTGACACTAAAAAATTGTGGCCCATTTGAAACAGGTTATGAACACTGATTATTTGTGGGTTATAGTTTGGTCTCCATTACTGTAAATTATTCTTAGGACTGAGAAAATAAATTGGATAGAAGAAGCTCCTTAGTTATAAAAGATATAATTAAGGAATCTGTTTATGTAAACTTAGTTTTCATTTCTTCAGTCATAATAGTTGTATATCGTGCCTTCCCGTTCTGGCCAACTTCAGGAGTCTATTAATTTATAGATGTTAGACCTAGTTTTCTTCCTCAGTTCACAGAATCTTGCATGTAATAGGCTCTCATTATAAGTTGGTTAAATTGTTTTCAAAGTCTTATTGAAAGTCTACCTGTTCTGGGGTGCCTGGCTCTCTCAGTTGGTAGAGCATGTAACTCTTGATCTCGGGGTTGTGAGTTTGAGCCCCATATTGGGTGTAGAGATTACTTAAAAATCCTTAAAAAAAAAAAAAAGTCTACCTGTTCCATGAGGTATTTCTCTTTACATAACTCAAATCTTTGTGTGTTCTTTGTTGCTGATATTTTTACTTTTTTAAATTGTGATTTTATATTGTTTCTCTAATTTGTTAGATTATCAGAAGTGAATTGTCTTTTTTTGTTGCGTATTTTTTTGTTGTGTACATGTTAATCATCAATTTGTTAATAGAGTGACAGTAAGTTCTGGTTTGCTTGGTACAAACTTGGTTTACATGTTTTGTTATGGCTTAATTATTAATAACTTCCTCTTTTACTCTCAAGAGTGTCTTGGTTTAGACAATAAATTTTTACTTACTCTACTCAAAAACTTTTGTGATTTCACAAAAAAGTTTAAGTGAAGGGGAATAGACAGAAGTTTAGATGAATTTTTTTGACCTTATGTAACATATTTTTCATTTTAATTATATTAAATGAGATGTTAAATTATAAGTCTATTTCTTGAATACTGATTAATGGAATGTTGCTTTCATTTTTTTTTCCAGGTATTTTAACAGTAGTGATAACAATTTACAGTATTGGGGATTGGATTATCCACCTCTTACCGCCTATCATAGTCTTTTATGTGCATATGTGTAAGTCTTTCTTACTTTTTTTTTTTTTTGAGAGAGAGAGCGAGAAAGAGCGTGCGGGAGCGAGGGGAGGGGCAGAGGGAGAGGGAGAGAGAATCCTAAGCAGGCTCCAGGCTCAGCATAGAGCCTGATGTGAGACTCGACCCCATGACCTTGAGATCGTGAGGTGAGCCAAAATCAGGAGTCGGTTGCCTAACCAACTGAGCCACTCAGGTGCCCCAGTGTTTCTTCCTTAATGTAATTACATATTTATGCCTTTAGCAGGTTTAGTAAGAAATAGTGAAATCTGGCTTTGTTGAATAGAGGACAGACTGTTTGTAGCTACTTTTGCATTGTGGTTTATAAAACAGTATACCTGGGGTGTCTGGGTGGCTCAGTTGGTTGGGTGTCTGCCTTTAGCTCAGGTCATGATCCCAGGGTCCTGGAATCGAGTTCCATGTTGGGCTCCCTACTCAGCAGGAAGCCTGCTTCTCCCTCTGTCTGCTGCTCCCTCTGGTTGTGCTCCCCCACCCCCTCTGTCAAATAGATAAATAAAATCTTAAAAAAAAAAATAAAGCACTATACCTTTGCAATTGGGTTGTAAGTAAGTTAACTATCAAAATTTGAATATTTCCATAATTTCTTTGAAGGACAGGCTAGAAAGAAATGTAAAAATCTATCTTTGTTTTGAAGTCAAGATTCTACCAATTATACATGGGCACTGACAAATATATCTAATATGGTTAGTTGTGTATAGCAAAGCTTTTTTTCTGGAATGGACTATTTATATCTTGTAGAAATTAGCTTCCTGGATTAAAAACAAGACCCCAAAATCGGAGGGGGAGACGAACCATGAGGGACTATGGGCTCTGAAAAACAAACTGAGGGTTCTAGAGGGGAGGGAGGTGGGGGGATGGATTAGCCTGGTGATGGGTATTAAAGAGGGCACGTTCTGCATGGAGCACTGGGTGCTATACGCAAACAATAAATCATGGAACACTACATCAAAAACTAATGATATAATGTATGGTGATTAACATAACATAATAAAAAAAATAAGTCCCCAAAGTTCATGATAATCAGATATACTTTGCAGTGTTCAGAGTAATGTAGTATGTTTGAGAAGTTATCTTAGCAGTTATGTTCAGTTTTATGCAAGGATTTATAATTAGTAGCTATTTATTATTACCAACTGTTTATAAACTATAAAACATGATCCTTTAGTAGTAACCAAAGGATAAATCAAATAAATAAATAAATGAAATGTGACACATCAGATTGTTTTTACACTGAAAGAATTGTGAAGGTAGGGCTTTTTGTGACATGTTACATGGTTTTGTTGGAAGGTGAGTGAGGTAGACCCTGTGTTATAGCTTAAGTCAGTTTCACATGATTACATAAAAAAAGTAAAGCTTAGGCCCCGACTCTCTCACTTTGTAAGAGCAATGGCCACTTCTTGAGATAGATTCATATGTCCTCAGATGTTGTTATTGCTAAAAGTGACAAGTAATACTGTATATGTATGTATGCTTTGATTTTCAGGGCAAAGTTCATAAATCCAGACTGGATTGCTCTCCATTCATCACGTGGATATGAGAGTCAGGCACATAAGCTCTTTATGCGCACCACAGGTAAAAGAGCAACAAAGTGTTGATTTTCTGAATCAAATTTTGATTTAAAAAAAAATTTTGGACAAACTGATACAAAGTTCTATTGTTCTTACTGACTTTTAAATTGTATAACTATATGTGTACATATGTATGTATAATACAAGACCAAATGTTTATGTAAGCTAAAGACAAAAAATTGAAAGGAATCATTCTGGGTGCTTTTCACTTATTATTATCTCAATTCTTTTAACACCTAAATGAGCTAAATACTGTTATTATCCTTACTTTAATCTGAGGAGGTAGAGGCACAGTTGAGTGATGCTAATAGCTTACCTGAGGTCAGATAGCCATATATTGAAGTTTTAGTTGTTTAGCTGCTGCTTTACTATCTTAATTCCACATCCCTTTAACCTTTTTCTTAAAGTAAACCTTTTGGTTGTATCTCATACATTGTATTGCTGTGCATTTTTGCTAAATTAAATAATCCATTCAACAAATGTTTATTTTTATTTTTTTTAAAGATTTTATTTATTTATTTGACACAGAGAGAGAGAGAGCACAGGCAGGGGAAGTGGCAGGCAGAGGGAGAGGGAGAAGCAGGCTTCCCGAGGAGCAGGGAGCCTCATGTGGGACCCTGAGCCGAAGGCAGTCACTTAACCAACTGAGCCACCCAGGCTCCTCAACAAATGTTTATTGAGCATCTGTTGTGTGGTGTATTGTGTGGTGTTCTAAGAGCTTGAAAGTAATAAGATTAGATTTCTTTAAAAGCTTTGTTTTAAGTTTATTTACTTAAGTAATCTCTATACCCAGTGTGGTGCTCAAACTTACCACCCTGAGATCAAGAATTGTGTGCTCCTCCGACTGAGCCAGCCAGGTGCCCCTAGTTGCTTAATTTTTTTAAAGATTTATTTAGAGAGAGAGCATGAGCAGGGGGAGAGGCAGAAGGAGAGGGAGAGAGAGAATCTCAGGCTGACTCCCAGCTGAGCGTGGAGCCTGATGCAGGGCTCCATCTCACAACCCTGAGATCATGACCTGAGCTGAAATCAAGAGTTGGACTTTTTTTCTTGTTGTTGTTAAGATTTTATTTATTTATTTGAGAGTGAGAGAGAGAGCATGAGAGCGGGGTGAGGGACAGAGGGAGAAGCAGACTCCCTGCTGAGCAGAGTCCAATGCAGGGCTCAATCCCTGGACCCTGGGATCATGACCTGAGCCGAAGGTAGATGCTCAACTGACTGAGCCACCCAGGGCTTCCCCCCCACCCCAATTTCTTTAAAAGCTTTGCATGACTTAGACTTTAATGCTCCTCTGTACCTTTTCCTTAGTCTAAATTTACTCAGTTTGTTCTCTTTATCATTCATCCAGTCATGCAATCTCAGGCTGAAGAGATTATTTTGCCTATTGTTCCCTCTGCCATACTACTCTCCTTTCCCCCTCATCAGTGCTTTAATCTTCTCTGAACTGCATACTCACTGGAAGATTATTTAACTTCTGAACCAATACCTGTATCTGCAGAGAACTCACAACCTTTAGAAACAGTCTATTCTATTTTCAGAGAGCCCTAATCATTAAACATTTCCTTCTTTTATTTCTTTTTTAGAAGATTTATTTACTTATTTTGAAAGATAGAGAGTGCGTATGAATGGGAGGAGCAAAGGGAGAGGGAGAAAGAATCCCAAGCAGACTCCATGCCAAGTGTGGAGCCTAACATAGGGCTTGATCTCACGACCCTGAGACCTCGACCGAATTGGAAACCAAGAGTCGGTCACCCAACCGACTGTGCCACCCATGCACCCCTAAACATTTCCTTCTTACGTAATACCTCCACTCGTCACTTTAGGTTCTGTTTCCTTGGGCTACATAGAACAAGTCTGACTCTTTGTATACCTAACACTCTACACACATTTGAAGTCACCTCTTCTTCAGGTTAAATATTCTTAGATACATTCACTATTTCTTAGATGGCCAGCTTGTTGAGTATGATTATGACTTGAGGCCTCTGGTTGTGCTCCTTTGAATATATTCCATTTTGTCAGTGTCACCTTAAATGTGGCAGCTAGAGCAAAAATAGATTGCATGCATCTAAAACCGACAGTTTACTGTCATTTACTTTATTCTGGACACCACAGTTAGTGTGGAACAAGAAAAAAATAGGCCCTTTGGATAGCTATTTTGTACTGTTGAAGAACTTAATGTATTTGTTTTTCTTTGTTCTAAAAGAACTGAACATTCCAAATTACGACTTTTTTTTTTTAATTTTAAACTTTTTTTTTTTCAGTTTCCTCCTTACCTGGGTCTGTCAAGCTCTTTATATTAAGCATTAATTAGCAAAAGTTTATGCAGTTTTTATAAATATTAACATTTAAGAAGGATTCTTACATGATTTGCCACATTTGAGGTACACTTCACACCAGATAATTTGGAGTGTACAGATGCTGGGGAAAAAATGTTGTTTTCCTTTTCTTTGAGTATTCTTAATTTTTAAGTCTCAGAGCAAAGAGGGAATTAGTTTTGGACACTTCTAACTGATTTAATATGTGAATTTGTTAGAGAAAATTAGGGGTCTCTTAATCATAATTGTAGCACCATAGCAGTTGAAATTAGGCACAGGTGAAGGGAATGAATGGAAAGGGCTAGATGTAAAGGCCTTGTCCAGAGTGGGTGAGAGCCTTCTGTTAACAGAATTCCCACTCGAGGTTGGAGGGGGGAGGATGGCACTTAATAGGTTATTGTAAATCCTAATGGGCTCATGTTTAAAATGATTTACTTGTTTTTCCAGTGTTAATTGCTGATTTGCTGATTTATATACCTGCAGTGGTATTATACTGTTGGTGTCTAAAAGAAATCTCAACCAAGAAAAAGGTAAGTCTTAAAGCAACCTGAAATGTCATCTCTGAAATGTTTTATTGGCTTAACTATTAAAGTATAGAGCTTATAGAAGCCATGCTTTGGGCAATAGGCTGTTGTAGAGCAGTGATTCTTTTGTTAATTAATTTTCATTTAGAAAACATCAACTTATCTTAGACTAATAATTTTAACGTTCAACTCTAGTAATAAGATGCATTGAATTTGAGAAGTTAGGTACTGCTGAATTTATGGCTTCACTGGTAAATCTGAATTTTGAATTGGCTTGTGAGAATGACTAAACTGGAAGGAATTTTGAGAAGTCATTGTATATTCTCTTATTCCCATTTAACCGATATTCCTTTGGGTCAATCATTAGATTAACTTCTTTGATTTGTATATCTAAAAGTGCTTTCCCTGACAAATATCTTTTAGTGATTTTTTTTTTTCCTTTTTACTGAGGTATCCTATGTCACCTCCATGAAAACTTCAGTCTTTAGAGAATTGTTTTGTAAAAAGGAATATTTTGGTAAATAGAAGGTGAGGGGGGGACATTTGCTGTGTTAATCAAACAGCAATTTTACCCTGTTTGATTTGAGTAACATTCCTTTCTCACAATATTTTTCTTTACAGATTGCTCATGCATTATGCATATTGCTGTATCCAGGCCTTATTCTTATCGACTATGGACATTTTCAGTATCCTTTGCTAATTTAGAAATGAAGTCAGATGCATATTTTTGAAATCTGGGCTTAGTGTGTATAATGTTGTCATCCAGTAATGTCTTATTTGCTAGGGTACTTGCTTATATAAACTATTTTTCACAGCAATATAAAAGACTCTTTTCTTTCTTTCTTTTTTTTTTTTTAAAGGTTTTCTTATTTATTTTTTTTAGAGATTTTTGTTTATTTATTTGACAGAGACAGAGACAGTGAGAGCAGGAACACAAGCAGGGGGAGTGGGAGAGGGAGAAGCAGGCTTCCTGCTGAGCCGGAAGCCCGATGCGGGACTCGATCCCAGGACCCTGGGATCATGACCTGAGCCGAAGGCAGTCGCTTAACCAACTGAGCCACCCAGGCGCCCAAGACTCTTTTCACCAAGCTTTTATTTTAAGGGTAAAGTACAGATTAATTGAAAGTAGAATTGCTGTTTTACACCCTTTAGCTTGGGAACAAAATGTGGGTCATGGATTAGCTCTTTTGGAGAGTTGGAAAAAGAGTGCAAGTATGGTTATGCTCTCCTAATTCTAAAGAGGTATCACCTATCTTCTGTCTTTTGTAAATGTCATCCAACACTGACAAAAGGAAAACAATCTTACCGTTTTTCGAGTTTTAAACCAAAGTGTTTCTCTTACAGATAGTGGTAGCTACAAGCTTTGGGGAACTAAAATTGAATAATTACAATTTATGTGGATTTTATGCGTGTAATTTTTTGAAGTGTAAAATAAGGAACATTCAAACAAATCTTAGAGGAAAGTTGATAAAATCTGGACATGGCTCTCCAGCTTATCTTCTGATGTGTGAACTGTTACTGTCTGTCCCCATCTGTCCCCAAAAGAAAAAAAAAGATAATCCACAGCAACATGATTGATTAATAGCTTTTCCTTTTGAAGCCAGTCTGTTTTAGTTATAACAAATTTAATATGTGTTTTTGTCAAAGGACTTGCAAAAGATTTAAATCAGAGTTTTTATTCTGTCCACTTTCCAAGTTGACTTTTTCGTTTCTTTGTTTTGCATTTTGGGATCATGGCCATCTGATACTCTGGTAATATCAAGAACACTGATTTAAAGAAAAAAGTTATTTACAAGATTTTTAAAACTATATTTACTTTGAAATGTAACAGTCATATAGAAAAGTGCACAAAATGTAAATGTGTAGCTCAGTGTATTGACAAACTATTACCTGTGTCAAAAAAACTGAACGTTGCTTGTATCCAACATCTACACTTGTACAACTGCCAAGTGCTTTTGTCTTCCTTTCCCAAAGATAGCCACATACTAACTGCTAATCTTAATAGTTTAGTTTTCCTCCTTTTCTGGACTTTATATAAGAGAGACAACACAGTAGGTATTCCTTTGTGATTGGTATTTTTGGTCAACATTTGTGAGAGTTTTTCATGTACTTGTGTGTAGCTGTAGCTTATTCACTTACATTGCTCTATATTCCATTGAATGAATACACATAATTCTATTACTGAGAGACATTTGGATTGTTTCCAGGATTTGGCTATGATGAATATGCTGCTATGAACATTCTTGTAAATGTCTCTTTGTACACATTGCATATATATTTTTTTCTTTTTTCTTTTTTTTAAGTAGGCTCCATGCCCAGCATGGAGCCCAACACAGGGCTTGAACTCATGACCCTGAGATCAAGACCCGAGCTGATATCAAGAGTCAGACACTTCACTGACAGAGCCACCTAGGTGCCCTAGATATATTTCTTATGAGTGGAATTGCTGAGTTATAGGGTGTGCACATGTTTATTTTTTTTAGAGAGGGAGAGAGGTGGGGAGGGGCAGAGGGAGAGAGAGAGAGAGAATCTTAAGCATGCTCTATGCCCAGTGTGGAGCCTGATGCAGGGCTTGATCTCACTACCCTGAGATCATGACCTGAGCTGAAATCTAGAGCCAGACGCTTAACTGACTGAGTCACCCAGGCACCCCAGGTGTGCACATGTTTAATTTCAGATATTCCCAAATGATTTTTAAGCATGTTATACCAATTAACACTCCCATTAGAAGCAATGTGGAATTTCCAGGTGCTCATCTTCACCAGCTGTCAGTCATTTTCATTTTAACCATTCTGGTGAATTTGTAGTGGTATCTCCTCTGTGATTAAAATCAAAGTCTTGAAGCTTTTGGGATTATGTCATTTTGTAGGGACACATTTTTTTAACCACTATGTACTTTCCTCATTTTACTTGAGAGAGAATGAGAGAGAGAGCACATAAGAGGGGGGAGGGTCAGAGGGAGAAGCAGACTCCCTGCTGAGCAGGGAGCCCGATGCGGGACTCCATCCTGGGACTCCAGGATCAAGACCTGAGCCGAAGGCCACCAGGTGCCCCTTTTTATGTTTACTTATTGATTTAAGTAATCTCTGTGCCCAACGTAGGGCTTGAGCTCACAACCCTGAGATCAAAAATCAGTGCTCTTCAGACTGAACCAGACAGGCGCCCCACTTTGTATGCTTGTTTTTCTTTTTTTTGAGACTTTATTTATTTGAGAGAGAGAGAGAGAGAGACCACAAGCAGGGGGAGGGGCAGAGGGAGAGGGATAAGCAGACTCCCCACTGAGCAGGGAGGCCAATGCAATGCGGGGCTCGATCCCAGGATCCCAGGATCATGACCTGAGCCAAAGGCAGACCCTTAACTGATTGAGCCACCCAGGCGCCCCTGTATGCTTGTTTTGAGAATTAAGTGAATTATTGTTTAATTATTATTTATAAATAAAACAGTACCTGGGAAATATTAAGCTCTATATGAATATTTATTGCTATTATTATCTGTTGTTACTGCTGTTGCTGTTACTATTTTTTATTGTTTGGGCTCTAAAATTTAACAATGATTTGTTTAGGCATAGGTGTTTGCAACAATTGTTTTGGATACTCTGTGAGTCATTCTTTTTGAAGGCTCATGTTCTTCAGTTCTGGGAAATTCTATTTCTTTGATGATTTTCTCACTTTACTCTTTCTTGAGCTTATTAGACAGATGTTAGAGGTTACACCTCTGTCTTTTTTTTTTTAAGATTTACTTATTAGAGAGAGCATGTGCATGTGAGTGGGGGGAGGGGCAGAGGGAGAAGGAGAGAGAGAATCCCAAGTGGACTCCCCACTGAGCGTGGAGCCCTATGTGGGGCTTGATCTTAGGACCCTGAGATCATGACCTGAGTTGAAATCAAGAGTCTGCCTTAACGGTCAGAGACATCCAGGTGCCCCTTCACCTCTGTGTTGAGCATCTCTTCATCTTTTTTTTAATGGTTTAGATTATCATGACTTTATCTCTAATACTTCTATTAAATTTCATTTATTTTATTAATCCCATCTTAAATTAGAATTTACTCTTTTTTTCTACTATTCCTTGAATTATTTCCATTCTTCTAGGGTCAGTTTTTTTCCCCTTTTCATTTTGGGTTTTTTTCTTGTTATAGGGATTTCTAAAATGTCTGTTTGATCCTAATGTATCTATTCTTACTTAAGAATAAGGCAGAAGAAAAAGTTGCATGTGATCTCTCTGCACAGGAGTAAGGTGGAATTGGACGTCTCCATGTAGGCATTTTCATTTAATCCTCCTATTTTCTTTTTAACGTGTTACTCAAGCCCTCTAACCTACTTGGTGTTTCTTGAGTTCTCTAGGGGGCTTGCAGAGTGGATTGGCTCCTTGCTTGCTCAGGCTTCTTCTGCATTTTCTAAGCTCTAGCTTCTTTCATCCTAGTTTATTTGTTATGCTTCTGTGTCCTCTGTCTTCTAGAAATGTGTTGAAATCTTCATCTGTTGTAACCCATCTTCCGATTCTCTTTACAGCTGTGAATATTTACTTTTAAAAATTCCCTACAAGGGTACCTGGATGGCTCAGTTGGTTAAGTGTCTGCCTTTGGCTCAGGTCATGATCCCAGGGTCCTGGGATCGAGCCCCTCATTGGGCTCCCTGCTCTGTGGGGAGCCTGCTTCTCCCTCTCCCTCTGCGTGCCACTCCCCCTGCTTGTGTTTGCGCTGTCATATAAATAAATAAAATCATTAAAAAATTTTAAAATAAATAAATAAAATTCCCTATCATTTTAAGGGGGTCTCGGGAAGAAGAGGAGGTAAACGTGAGAGCTCAGCTCAACCATTTTGAACTGCAAAATCTAATTGTGATGTTGTTTTACTATAATAAGGTTATTAGTTTCTGATCAAGAACATATATTAATTATTAATATTGATGCATATTATAGGGGAAAGTATGGTAATATCAGTAAGTGTGTGTGTGTGTTTTACTTTGGACCATTGTTTTCTCTAGATTTTGGTATGTTGTTATTATAATACTGTGCAATAGTCTAGCAGAAACAAAGTTATGTGTTAACTGTTTAGTGATCTTTTAAATCTAAACAAATCAGTTGCTCTGTTTAGCAGTCGTTTTAATATATTTGAGGCCATTATATACTGTTTCATATTAGTTTATCACTTCAATACTTATAATTTCTGTTTAGAAATAGCTTTCATTATATATTATTTTAAAATCACATAAAAATATGCTCTATAAAATGCAAGATCTATCTCTTTTAATTATTGAGTTAATTTCCTTGACATAGGAACATATATAATTCTGTGAGTCTTGGCTTTGCTTTGTGGGGTGTTCTTGGAGTATCTTGTGACTGGGACCTGCTAGGCTCACTGGCATTTTGCTTAGCTATAAATTATAAACAGATGGAACTTTACCACTCCTTGCCATTTTTTTGCTTCTTACTTGGCAAGTGTTTTAAAAAAGGCCTGAAAGGAAAGGGGTGAGTGGCTTTTAAACATCAGAATTTTAAAAAAGTACTTCAGAGAATTTATTTGGCATACTTACCAGAAAGAAGATGGTCTTTCATTTTGCCTTTAGGTGATTTCTTATTACCGTGTTGACCGTGGGGTGAGTTGGAAGAGAGATTAAGTCATGTTCTCTATTATTTTATTTTAAATCTTCCTAACTAGAGAAATATTTTGATCAATGTACATTTACTGGAGGTAATGTGGATTGGCTTGTTAGAGCATTGCTATGGATTTCACCCATTTAGAGCATATTACATTTTATATTTTTAGAAATACATCCCAATTTGATCATGGCTGCATTGGAAAGGTGTATAAGTTAAATGTTAATTAAGATGGTAATAGTCATTTTGTTGGAGAGCTATACACCTTAATAATTGTGAATTTCTTAACTCTGATTTGAGTAAACTCCCATATTAAGCCTTTGTTAGTAGCATAGATTTATCATTACCATACATTTGTATTTATTATTAACTTTAGTGAGACTGAGACTGATTTCTCAGAATTATTAACCTCTCCCTGTCTTACTGGGTACCTTTGGTTTTGTTCTAGGTTTGTGTTGTTAATTAAGCTAGTTTGTACAGTTGTGGCTTCCTTCATTCTCTGCTGGCTGCCATTTACAGAAAGGGAGCAAACGCAGCAAGTTCTGAGGAGACTCTTCCCAGTTGATCGTGGATTATTTGAGGTATGTTTAAAAAATGTCTTCTCACTCCTTTCTATGAACACTACCTTTGCTGTGACCTCTGGGGATTTCATGTAGAAGACACACAAGGAATAGTAACTTTAGCTGCTCTCCTTGCAGTAATTCCTTGCCAGTTATTTAATCCAGTATATAACCTCTAGCTCAGCTGGCATTTTCTAGTACAGTAAGTGAATAGATAATATTTATGCCATCATGAAATCCATAATTAAATTATATATTTTTCTAATGAAATAAGATCCATAGTGAAAGACAGCATGAGAAGTTGCAGCTACAAAGTTAACAGCTCTAATTTTTTGGTTTATATTCTCTTTTTAGTCTTAGGACATTATTTATTCAACCATGTTTGCTTCAGCAAGATCTCATAATTCCTTATATAACCTTCATCCATAGTAATTTTTAATGAGAATCTTTCATTAATGCTAGCTTAATCATTCTTGTTAAACTTTTATTACATGGATAATTTGATGATTTAGATTTAGTAATTAAATTAAACAAACCATTTTTCTGAAACAAAAAGGCCTTTTAATAAAGTTAGAGACAACATATTTATAGATAATTTGCTTTTGATAAACATTTCTTTTAAAAAGAATTAGAAAAGCATATATATCTTTCTAATTTTTGAATATATAAATTGCTATAGATTATCTTTCAGTGGATCTATAGGAAGATGGTAGTAGCATTTTGAAAGAGATCAAGAAAGAGTTTGGTGTGATGGAACAGGAATATGCGACTTATATGTTGATGGGGATACTGCTGCTACTGATAGTGATAATCATAAATAATCACTATTACTGTCACCACACTTACTAGGTACCACATACTTCATGTGATTTTATTTGATTCTTTTTTTTTTTAAAGATTTATTTATTTATTTTGAGAGAGCGTGAATGAGAGAGAGAGAGAGAGAGAGCATGAGAGGGGGAGGGTCAGAGGGAGAAGCAGGCTCCTCGCTGAGCAGGGAGCCTGATGCGGGACTCGATCCTGGGACTCCGGGATCATGACCTGAGCCGAAGGCAGTCGCTTAACCAACTGAGCCACCCAGGTGCCCCTTATTTGATTCTTATAATAGCTCTGACTGAGGTAGCTATTGTATCCATTTTACAGATCAGAAAACTGAGGTCAGAGATTCATGTAGACTTATACATGGCAGAGCTGTGGTTTGAATTTTGAAAATTGTGTTCTTTACTTCTTCTTTTTTTTTTTTTCCTTCTTTCTATTTCCTCAACCTTAAAACCTATATAAAGAAAAGTTAATTTCCCATCTAAGCTGCTTGGTTATCTGCCTTGTGAGATCATATGATACGTGTCTTTCTCTGTTTGACTTATTTCACTTACCATAATACCCTCTAGTTCCATCCATGTCATTGCAAATGGCAAGATTTTGGTTTTTTTCATGGCTGCATAATATTCCATTGTATATATATACCACATCTTCTTTATCCATTCATCTGTTGATGGACATCTTGGCTCTTTCCATAGTTTGGCTATTGTGGACATTGCTGCTATAAACATTGGGGTGCACATAACCCTTCGGATCCCTACATTTGTATCTTTGGGGTAAATACCCAGTAGTGCAATTTGCTGGGTCGTATGGTAGCTCTATTTTCAACTTTTTGAGGAACCTCCATACGGTTTTCCAGAGTGGCTGCACCAGCTTGCATTCCCACCAACAGTGTAGGAGGGTTCCCCTTTCTCCACATCCTTGTCAACATCTGTCGTTTCCTGCCTTGTTAATTTTAGCCATTCTGACTGGTGTGAGGTGGTTTCTCATTGAGGTTTTGATTTGGATTTCCCTGATGCCGAGCAATGTTGAGCACTTTTTCATGTGTCTGTTGGCCATTTGGATGTCTTCTTTGGAAAAATGTCTGTTCATGTCTTCTGCCCATTTCTTGACTGGATTATTTGTTCTTTGGGTGTTGAGTTTGATAAGTTCTTTATAGATTTTGCATACTAGCCCTTTATCTGATGTCATTTGCAAATATCTTCTCCCATTCTGTCGGTTGTCTTTTGGTTTTGTTGACTGTTTACTTTGCTGTGCAAAAGCTTTTTATCTTGATGAAGTCCCAATAGTTCATTTTGCCCTTGCTTCCCTTGCCTTTGGCAATGTTTCTAGGAAGAAGTTGCTGCAGCTGAGGTCGAAGAGGTTGCTGCCTGGGTTCTCCTTTAGGATTTTGATGGACTCCTGTCTCACATTGAGGTCTTTCAACCATTTTGAGTCTATTTTTGTGTGTGGTGTAAGGAAATGGTCCAGTTTCATTCTTCTGCATGTGACTCTCCAATTTTCCCAACACTATTTGTTGAAGAGACTGTCTTTTTTCAATTGGACATTCTTTCGTGCTTTGTCGAAGATTAGTTGACCATAGAGTTAAGGGTCCATTTCTGGGCTCTCTATTCTGTTCCATTGATCTATGTGTCTGTCTTTGTGCCAGTACCATACTGTCTTGATGATGACAGCTTTGTAATAGAGCTTGAAGTCCGGAATTGTGATGCCACCAGCTTTGCTTTTCTTTTTCAACATTCCTCTGGCTGTTCGGGGTCTTTTCTGGTTCCATACAAATTTTAGGATTATTTGTTCCATTTCTTTGAAAAAAGTGGATGGTATTTTGATAGGGATTGCATTGAATGTGTAGATTGCTCTAGGTAGCATGGACATCTTCACAATATTTGTTCTTCCAACCCATGAGCATGGAATGTTTTTCCATTTCTTTGTGCCTTCCTCAATTTCTTTCGTGAGTATTTTATAGTTTTCTAAGTACAGATTCTTTGCCTCTTTGGTTAGATTTATTCCTAGGTATCTTATGGTTTTGGGTGCAATTGTAAATGGGATCGACTCCTTAATTTCTCTTTCTTCTGTCTTGTTGTTGGTGTATAGGAATGCCACTGATTTCTGTGCATTGATTGTATATCCTGCCACTTGACTGAATTCCTGTATGAGTTCTAGCAGTTTTGAGGTGGAGTCTTTGGGGTTTTCCACATAAAGTATTATATCATCTGCACAGAGTGAGAGTTTGATTTCTTTGCTGATTCGGATGCCTTTTATTTCTTTTTGTTGTCTGATGGCTGTGGCTAGGACTTCTAGTACTGTGTTGAATAGCAGTGGTGATAGTGGACATCCCTGCCATGTTCCTGACCTTAGGGGAAAAGCTCTCATTTTTCCCCATTGAGAATGGTATTCGCTGTGGGTTTTTCATAGATGGCTTTTATGATATTGAGCCCTATTCTCTGAAGAGTTTTAATCAAGAAAGGATGCTGTACTTTGTCAAATGCTTCTCTGCATCTATTGAGAGGATCGTATGGTTCTTGTTCTTTCTTTTATTAATGTATTGTATCACATTGATTGCTTTGCAGATGTTGAACCAACTTTGCAGCCCAGAAATAAATCCCACTTGGTCGTGGTGAATAATCCTTTTAATGTACTGTTGGATCCTATTGGCTAGTATTTTGGTGAGAATTTTTGCATCCATGTTCATCAGGGATATTGGTCTGTAATTCTCCTTTTTGATGGGGTCTTTGTCTGATTTTGGGATCAAGGTAATGCTGGCCACATAAAATGAGTTCGGAAGTTTTCCTTCCATTTCTATTTTTTGGAACAGTTTCAGAAGAATAGGTATTAATTCTTCTTGAAATGTTTGGTAGAATTCCCCTGGGAAGCCATCTGGCCCTGGGCTTTTGTTTGTTGGGAGATTTTTGATGACTGCTTCAATTTCCTTAGTGGTTATAGGTCTGTTCAGGTTTTCTATTTCTTCCTGTTTCAGTTTTGGTAGTTTATACATCTCTAGGAATGCATCCATTTCTTCCAGATTATCTAATTTGCTGGCATATAGTTACTCATAATATGTTCCTATAATTGTTTGTATTTCTTTGGTGTTGGTTGTGATCTCTCCGCTTTCATTCATGATTTTATTTATTTGGGTCATTTTTCTTTTTGATAAGTCTGGCCAGGGGTTTATCAGTCTTGTTAATTCTTTCAAAGAACCAGCTCCTAGTTTCGTTGATCTGTTCTACTCTTCTTTTAGTTTCTATTTCATTGATTTCTGCTCTGATCTTTATTATTTCTCTTCTCCTGCTGGGTTTAGGCTTTATTTGCTGTTCTTTCTCCAGCTCCTTTAGGTGTAGGGTTAGGTTATGTGCTTGAGACCTTTCTTGTTTCTTGAGAAAGGCTTGTATTGCTATATACTTTCCTTTCAGGACTGCCTTTGCTGCATCCCAAAGATTTTGAACAGTTGTGTTTTCATTTTCATTGGTTTCCATGAATATTTTTAACTCTTCTTTAATTTCCTGGTTGACCCATTCATTCTTTAGTAGGATGCTCTTTAGTCTCCATGTATTTGAGTTCTTTCCGACTTTCCTCTTGTGATTGAGTTCTAGTTTCAAAGCACTGTGGTCCGAAAATACACAGGGAATGATCCCAATCTTTTGGTAACAGTTGAGACCTGATTTGTGACCTAGGATGTGATCTATTCTGGAGAATGTTCCATGGGCACTAGAGAAGAATGTGTATTCTGTTGCTTTGGGATGGAATGTTCTGAATGTATCTGTGAAGTCTATTTGGTCCAGTGTGTCATTTAAAGTCTTTATTTCCTTGTTGATCTTTTGCTTAGATGATCTGTCCATTTCAGTGAGGGGGTTGTTAAAGTCCCCTACAATTATTGTATTGTTGTTGATGTGTTTCTTTGCTTTTTTTTTTTTTTTTAAGATTTTTATTTATTTATTGAGAGAGATAGTCTTAGAGAGAGAGCATGAGAGGGGGAGAGTCAGAGGAAGAAGCAGACTCCCCGCCGAGCAGGGAGCCCGATTCGGGACTCGATCCCAGGACTCCAGGATCATGACCTGAGCCGAAGGCAGTCGCTTAAACAACTGAGCCACCCAGGCGCCCCTGTTTCTTTGCTTTTGTTATTATTTGGCTTATATAATTGGCTGCTCCATGTTAGGGGCATAGATATTTACAATTGGTAGATCTTCTTGTTGGATAGACCCTTTAAGTATGGTATAGTGTCCATCCTCATGTCTTATTGTAGTCTTTGGTTTAAAATCTAATTTGTCTGATATAAGGATTGCCACCCCAGCTTTCTTTTGGTGTCCATTAGCATGGTAAATGGTTTTCCACCCCCTCACTTTCAATCTGGAGGTGTCTTTGGGTCTAAAATGAGTCTCTTGCAGACAGCATATTGATGGGTCTTGTTTTTTTAATCCAATCTGGTACCCTGTGTCTTTTGATTGGGGGCATTTAGCCCATTTACATTCAGGGTAACTATTGAAAGATATGAATTTAGTGCCATTGTATTGCCTGTAAGGTGACTGTTACTGTATGTTGTCTCTGTTCCTTTCTGGTCTATGTTACTTTTAGGCTTCTTTGCTTAGAGGACCTCTTTCCATATCTCTTGTAGGACTGGTTTCGTGTTTGCAAATTCTTTTAGTTTTTGTTTGTCCTTTTACCTTTTTATCTCTTCTTCTGTTTTCAATGACAGCCTAGCTGCATATAATATTCTTGGCTCCATATTTTTGTCGTTTAGTGCTCTGAATATATCATGCCAGTCCTTTCTGGCCTGCCAGGTCTCTGTGGATAGGTCTGTTGCCAATCTAATGTTTCTACCATTGTAGGTTACAGACCTCTTGTCCCGAGCTGCTTTCAGGATTTTCTCTTTGTCTCTGAGACTCGTAAGTTTTACTATTAGATGTCGGGGTGTTGACCTGTTTTTATTGATTTTGAGGGGGGGTTCTCTGTGCCTCCTGGGTTTTGATGCCTGTTTCCTTCCCCAAATGAGGGAAGTTCTCTGCTATAATTTGCTCCGATATACTTTCTGCCCCTCTCTCTCTTTCTTCTTCTTCTGGGATCCCAATTATTCTAATATTGTTGCATCTTATGGTATCACTTGTCTCTCGAATTCTGCCCTCATGATCCAGTAGTTGTTTATCTCTCTTTTTCTCAGCTTCTTTATTCTCCATCATTTGGTCTTCTATATCACTAATTCTGTCTTCTGCCTCATTTATCCTAGCAGTTAGAGCCTCCATTTTTGATTGCACCTTATTAATAGCCTTTTTGATTTCGACTCGGTTCGATTTTAGTTTTTTTTTTAAAAAATTTTATTTATTTATTTGACAGAGAGATAGAACAAGTAGGCAGAGAGGCAGGCAGAGGGAGAGGGAGAAGCAGGCTCCCCATTGAGCAGGGATTCCGATGCGGGGCTCGATCCCAGGACCCTGGGATCATGACCTGAGCCGAAGGCAGCCGCTTAACCGACTGAGCCACCCAGGCGCCCCTAGATTTTAGTTCTTTTATTTCTCCAGAAAGGGTTTCTCTAGTATCTTCCATGCTTTTTTCAAGTCCAGCTAGTATCTTTATAATCATTATTCTGAACTCTAGTTCCAACATCTTACTAATGTCCGTATTGATTAGGTCCCTGGCAGTCAGTACTGCCTCTTGTTCTTTTTTTTGAGGTGAGTTTTTCTGTCTTGTCATTTTGTCTAGAGGAGAACAGGTGAATGAGAGAACAAAATACTAACAGGGTAACAACGACCCCAGAAAAACATACACTAAACAAATCAGAAGAGACCTGAAACCGGGGGAAAACAAAGGGAAAGAAAGAAAGAAGAAAAAAGAAAAAGAGAGAGAGAGAAAAGAAAAAAGCAAAAAAAGAAAAAAAGAATATGATCAAATATGATCAGGCTGGTGAATAGATCAGTGCCACACACGTATTTAGGTTTGTTAGAAGAACCTGCCTCCCAAAATTTTAAAGAAAGAAAAACTTATATATGTACAAAAATAAGAGTAAATATGATGAAGGGATAGAATATGACTGTAAAGATGAATATTATAAAAGATTTTATAAAAGGAATTGATAAGAAGTTGGTTGAAAAAAGAAAGAAGAGAAATTAAAAAAAAAAAAGGGAGAGAATGTGATCAGGCTGGAGACTAGAACAAAGCCATACACTAGAGATTTAGGGTATATTTTGGTCTGTTAGAAGAAACTGTATCCCAAAATTTTAAAGGGAGAACAACTTATATATATACCAAAAATAAGGTTAACTACAATGAAGGGATAAAATATGACTCTAAAAATGAAAAATAAAAAAGATTTTTTAAAAAAGAGATTGATAAGATGTTGGTTGAAAAAGGGAAAAAGAAAAATTCAAAAAAAGAATAGAAAAAGAAAAAAAAGAAAATTTTAAAAATTAACTTTGAAAGACTAAAGAATCAGGGGAAAAAAAGCCATGAATTCTATGTGCAGTATTCCCCTACTGCTGGCATTCTGCATTCTCATTGATCAGTAAACTTGGTCTTGGCTGGCTGTTCTTGCTGATCTTCTGGGGGAGGGGCCTGTTGCCATGGTTCCCAAATGTCTTTGCCGGAGGTGGAATTGCCCCGCCCTTGCTTGGGGCTGTGCTAAGTAATCTGGTCGGGTTTGCTCTTGGGAGCTTTTGTTCCCTGCATGCTTTCCGTACAGCTTTGGAGGACAAGAGTGAAAATGGTGGCCTCCCAATCTCTGCCCTGGGGGAGCCGAGAACTCGGGGCCCCACTCCTCAGTGTGCCCCCAGAGAAAAGCAGTCAGTCACTCCTGTCTCCCCAGTCTCCAGCCACACTCCGTGCTCACCCAGCCTGTGACCAAGTGTTTCTGTCTCTGGCACCCGAACCCATGTGGAGTCTGCAAACCCCGTGGCAGATCCCTGTGGTGCGCTCCCTTGCCTCTCCTCCCAGGGGAGGAAGGGGAGTCTCCCTGGATCTGCCGCTTGTTGGGCCCCTGGTGGAGGAGCGGTGGCCCGACTGTGCCACGGATCACGGTTTATGGCAACCCCGTCTGAGAGCCCCCTCCTTGGCTCCATCTCTGCAGCTGGCTTCCCCACTCCGATACCTGGGAGCTCTGCCACACTCAGGCACCCCCAGTCTTTCTGTGACCCTGAGGGTCCTGAGACCACACTGTCCCAGCAAGTGTTCCACCCCCGACTTAGCGACGCGTGCGATGTCCCTCAGTGGAGCCGACTTCTAAAAGTTCTGATTTTGTGCTCCGCTGCTCTATCACTTGCCAGTAGCTGCTGATGGAGGCTCCTTCCTGCCGTGGTCTGTCTTCCTGAATATCGCTTCCGATTCACTTCTCTGCACGTCCTACCTTCCAGAAAGTGGTCGCTTTTCTGTTCAGAGAGTTGCTGCTATTATTTTCTTCGATCTCCTGTTAAGTTCGTAGGTGTTCAGAATGGTTTGATCCATATCTAGCTGAATTCCTGGGACCAGACAAAATTTAGGTCTCCTTCTTCTCTGCCATCTTGCTCTTCCCTGTTAGTTACTTTCTTGGTGTTATGCTTACACAGCTATGAGTTAAGCAGCTGTGTAGAGGATAGGTTTCACAAGCAGAGAGCTGTAGTTACAAATTTAATTTTGAAAGTGATCCTACCACAACTGGTAATGTCTTTAAATACCTTGATTTATTAGCAATTAACTCTTGTTATTGTAAGTAGTTATACTTGAGATAATTTCAGGTGTGTGATAAAATGGGTCAAAAAATGTGTGTTCTACAAATTAGGAAAAAAGATTGCCTAGAAAAATTTCCAAAGATGAATAACTTTAAGTATTTAGGGATAGTGTGCTGCTCTTTGAAAAAAATAAACATTTCTTGGGAATATCTAGATTATGGTTGGCTAGTGATTTAGGTCAACTTCCATTGCAAAAAATGAAAAATGTGTGTGTGTGTGTGTGTGTGTGTGTATTCCTTGGAGAGTTTAAGCAAGTTATAAAAGTGTGAACAAAAGCTTTATGTCTCAAAAGTTTATTTAGAGATTATGGGCTGTACTTTGATAGAGTTTAATATTTCTTTCTATTATATCAGAATGTAAAACTAACAAATCTCTTTTAAGGATAAAGTAGCCAATATTTGGTGCAGCTTCAGTATCTTTCTGAAGATCAAGGATATTTTGCCACGTCACATCCAGATAATAATCAGGTAAGAGATACAAAGTTTGTATATAGTGTTGTATAAGGTGTTCTCTAAAAGTGTTGTGGTAATATCTCATTTATCTGGTGTCATTAGGGAATGAGGTGTTCTTCATTAGTGAATTTTCCACATAACACAGACCTATCCCTCTATATACCAGAACTTTTATTTGAAATATGTTAAGTGATCATCTTTCTCGATTGTTACCTATTTCCCTCCCCCTTAAACAAAGTGTACTAAACATAATTAAACATTATCTTGAAGAATCATGATTTTCAGTGGTGTATCAATCAGGGCTCAACCAGAAAAGAAGAATGAGTGGGAGGGGTGTGTGTGTGTGTGTGTGTGTGTGTGTGTGTGTGTGTGTGTGTGTGAGAGAGAGAGAGAGAGAGAGAGAGAATTTATTACAAGAAATTGGCCTATACTGTCATGGGGTCTGATTGAACAAACTGGAAGTCCACAAGGCAGGCATTCAATTTTAGTATATGTACTGCCGAAGTGAGCACAACAAGGCAGGCATTCAGGAAGGAATATCTAAGGGGAAGGAAGAGCAATTCAAATCCAGTTTCTGTTTGGAATCTCAATTTAGGGAAGACCTAACTCTCTTTTAAAAGTCTTCGAATTGATTAAGTCAGGCCATCCAAGAATCTCCCTTTTGATTAAGTGAAAATCAACTGAAGAGGGACTTTCATTACATCTGCACCATCTCGTCACCACAGCACCAAGATTCGTGTTTGAATAACTGGGAGAAGCTGTGTGTGTGTGTGCACGCTATACAACGGGGCTGCCTCCCTCTGTCCTCCAGTTCTTTTGAGAATATCCCTTGTAGCCCATTGTAGCTGGCAGCCTCCTAGAGAGAGAATTCAGGGAACTATAGTTCAGCTGAGCCACACTGACACACCACAAAGCCACCAACAGTGAGAAAATCAGTTACTGTTTTGTGTTATAATACTTGTCCTTAGGGCTTGCAAAAGCTGTTTGCCATGGTACTAACTGGCTCCACATGGCTCTGCTCTTGAGTTCCTTTTCCTCCCTGCCCATCAGCCATCACTAGGAGAAGCTCTAGCAGCTGCCCACTCCCTTTCTAACTTGTTCTTTCTGATTTACCATGGGCTGAAAATCAGTCAACTTTTGTGAGAGGTTCTCTTGTGAGTAAATTTTATGAATATTTGTGTTACAAATATATATCGTCTCTTTATGCCTGGTAGTGTTTCTTATTTTGAGTGTTTGAGAATTGACTTTAGCTATCTATCTTTGTGTATCTTTTCTGTAAATAACATAAGTACTGTAGTATTTTTTTCTGTATTATATAATCACGTATAAAAGTTTGTAAATATTTCAATGCATGGGTTTTATTTAAATGTTATTTGGTGTTAAATTTACATTTAATAAATAAACCTTTAATTTGAAATAAACAAGTTGGTAAGTAATGTGATCCTTATATTAAAAAATATTTCCTTGTTTTAATTACATACCTCTACAAAGAAAACAAATGTTTTTTTATTCTTTTTTTAGCTTTTGTTTTACATTTTTGAGCCTGCTTCCTGCTTGTATAAAATTAACACTTCAGCCCTCTCCCAAAGGATTCAGATTTACTCTGGTAAGTTTCTCATTACTTTAAATACTTAATTCTTGCTGCAACTGATCTTTTAAAAATACAGATAGTTATTTTCTTACTCTGTATGGGATTTACTGGACTGGAAAATAAGGTATTCATATATTTGGTGAACATATATTGAGTGTATGACATACTTTGGTGCTGTGTTGTATACTAGGCTGAATAATCAGAATCTTTAAGTTTAATTCAACAACTATTTAATTTCTGCTTTGTATTAGTCAATGAGGGAATACAGAGAAGAAAAGAGTGGGGATAGACATATGTTTAAATAATTATGCTATTAAACAGAAGGTAGTAAGTTCTTTTAGTTACACATTAAGTGCTGTGATAGTGTGGGAAAGGGAGATATTACTTTGGGGCAGATTTTATCATACGTATATATTTATTTAGTTAAGACTTTATTTATTTGACAGAGAGAGACACAATGAGAAAGGGAACACAAGCAGAGGGAGTGGGAGAGGGAGAAACAGGCTTCCCGTGGAGCAGGGAGCCCAATGCGGGGCTCAATCACAGGACCCTGGGATCATGACCCAAGCTGAAGGTAGACGCTTAATGACTGAGCCACCCAGGCGCCCCTGGGGCAGATTTTAGACAGCTTCTTAGAGTAAGTGGGATTGGAACCAAATTTTGAAAGCTGGGCAAGATTTGGAATACGAGGTTATATAGCAGAAGAGAATTCAAGGCAGGAGGAAGAACTTGAGGATACCGTGGTGGGAAAGGATAGGGAATGCTGGGAATAGCTATTAAACAATGAAATTTGTGTGCCGTGTGTGTGTGTGTGTGTGTGTGTGTGTGTATGTTGAGGTTAGGAAAGTATATAGTGGGAGATAAGAGTCGAAAAGGATCAAATCGGGTAAGACCTTGAATGTTGGGTTGAAAAAATTGGAGTTTGATTTGTGTGCCAGATGTACCAAAAAAGAGTTTTGAGGAGAGGGGACAGATCTCTGTTTTAGGAAGATGACTTGGTTATACTTGAGGATGAATTGGTTATATTTCCTACAACTTTGGGTTTCTCTGAGTGAGTTCACAAATTCCTCCCTGGTTGTATTTCTGTGGTATTTAAAATTTGGTTCTTTGTGCCTTGGTCTCTAAGATGATATTTTATTTTACTTTTTTAAAGATTTATTTATTTATTTATTTGACAGAGAGAGAGAGCACAAGTAGTCAGAGTGGCAGGCAGAGGGAGAAGGAGAAGCAGGCTCTCTGCTGAGCAGGGAGCTGGACATGGGGCTTGATCCCAGGACCCTGGGATCATGACCTGAACTGAAGGCAGCCGCCTAACCAACTGAGCCACCCAGGTGCCCCTAAGATGGTATTTTAAAAATATCTTTTAAAATATCAAGAAAATTTACTTTATGCAAAGTCTTAGTGGACTTATAAGGAGACAACATTTTAGAAATTAGGGTTTTGGGGCACCTGGGAAGTAAGTAAGTGAATGACAGCTCATATCCCTGCTCTCTTAATTGGGGCCTTTCATGCTAGTGGTAGGGGAAGGACAATAAACAAAATAGATTTGTTAATGAGAAAATATCTGGAAGTAATGGGGGCTATGAGGACAATAGTGTTATATGAAAGGAGTGCTGGTGGGTTTTGGTTAGGGTGCACTACTTTAGCTTGAAAGGGAAGGCCTTTCTATGGAAGTGACATTTGAGCCTTGAGCTGAATGACTGGCCAGAAGGAACCATTCACAAGAAGATCTGTGCTCTGACTTGATAAAATGAAGTTTTTCTTTAAAGCAGGAACACATTTGGTATGTTCAGCACATAAAGGGACTGGTATGAAGTGGCTGGTATGAAGTATGTGAGGGAGACAGTAAGAAATAGACTGGAAGAGGAGGGCAGGACCCAGATAGAAGTTTGGATTTTATTCTCAGGGTTAATGGGAAGCTATTTGAGGATTTTAAACAGGGAAATTTACATGATCTGATATGGTGGCTGAGTACATAATGGACTGTAAGGAAGCAAGACTGTTACCAATTAGGAGGTTATTGCAGTAGTCCAGGAGAAAGATGAGTGTGGTTTAGACCACTCCTCTGCCACCCTCAGCAGAGGGGAAGGGAGAGAGTGGGTGGATATTGTATTTAGAAGGTGGTATAGATAGGATTTGCTCTGGACTGGATGTGTGTAGATGGATGTCCAATATGCAGATCATAAACTTCTGAAAATAGATCTAAGTAATTTTAATTTTAAACCCCAAATAGCAAATGAAGACTTTATAAAACATTTAATGTATTTTATTGAAGTGTATCTTTTAAAAACACTAAAATAGATTTGTTTTACGAGTTTTAGATTTTAACTTCTGGCCCTCAGTGCTTTTTAATTTAAATTGTCAGAGATTCCAAGGGGGGGATGAAGGTCTGATTGTTGTGTCTTTGTTTTGTTTATTAATAACTGAGTCTGAATGAACTTGTTTTAGATGGTTAAATATAGCTTTATAATCCTTGTTTTTTCAAGAAATGTTTTACTAAATTTGAATAAAATATTATGCATTAGTGTTGTATAGATATTTTCCTTCTAGATAGAAACTACATTAAACTTTAAAATTTTACTTCAGATGATTTTTATTTAGATTCATAATTAAACTACTGTTATAGTTTATAAGTTGTTATATCTCATTCTCCCTCCTTTTTCCTTAAAGGTTAGCTGTGCACTGTCATTCTTTTTATTTTCTTTCCAAGTACATGAAAAGTCCATTCTCTTGGTATCATTGTAAGTAAAAATGTTGTGTTTTATTTATTTATTATTATGTGTTTATAATATATACATAAATTTATTACCTACATATAATCACCCAAGTGTAAAACAAAACCACACAAATGTTATTATGTAGTTGCATAAGATTATTCATAAAATTATATTTTTCCAGAATGATTTCTTATAATTTTACTTCTTTATAAATATAATATTTTAAACTGAAAAAGTTTCATAGAATAACTGACATACTTATTTCTGTTTCTTCATACATATTTTTTATATGCTAGTAAAAAAATTGAATAAACCAAAGAGATTTTCTGCTCAGATTGGAGCCTGTTTGTCATCTTTGCCTTTTTCATTTCATTCATTTCCACAACTGTTTAATAGTTTTGTTCTTTTCATTCACCTCTTTAGCAACTTTCATATGTTGACTCCTTGCTATTTCTTTTGTCAAAACCTTTGTTTAGACCCTATTGGCAATCCCTAATCAGACTACTTTGTTTTAAGAGCATTAAAATTTTTTCCTGGTTATCACAGAAATTGGGTGACAGTCGGGGTATATTATCCCAATATTAAGATAATATTTGCCCAGAACACATTGGAATACTTGAATCCTGCCCTAGATCAATCCCACCTCTTATCCTGAGGTGATCACTCAAGATGAGGGCTGAGAACAGACTCTTTGCCTTGCAAAATGGAAGTCACTGGTGACTTTGACAAGGCTAATGTTGATGGAGTGATGCAGGGATCAAAGCCTGATTAAGGTAGGTTTAAGAAATAATGAGAGGAGAGAAGAGAGAAATTGAAGATAGCTATAGATAATTCTTTTTTTTTAAATTTATTTAATTGTGGCAAAATATACCAGTAGTCACAATGCTGTGCAACCATCACCACTGTCTACTTCCAGAACATTTTTATCACCCCAAAAAGAAATGTTGTACCCTTTAAGGGGTCAGTCCCCATTCTCTTCCCATCCCTCAATTCTTGTAACCACTAAATTACTTTCTGTCTCTATGAGTTTGCCTATTTTGGATACTTCATATAATTGGAATAATATAATATTTGCCTTTTTATGTCTGATCTATTTCATGTAAGATAATATTTTCAAGGTTCATCCATGTTGTAGCATGTATCAGTACTTCATTTTTATGCCTGAATAATATTGCATTGTATGGATATACTACATTTTGTTCATCCATGCATCATTTGATGAACATTTGGGTTTCCACCTTTTGGTTATTGTGAATAGTGCCAGTATGAACATTCCTGCATAAGTTTTTGTTTGAACATTTGTTTTTAGTACTCTTCTTCTTTTTTTTTAATTTAAAGATTTTATTTATTTATTCGAGAGAGAGAGAGAGAGCACAAGCAGGCAGAGCAGCAGCAGAGGCAGAGGGAGAAGCAGGCTCTCTGCTGAGCAAGGAGCCTGAGGTGGGGCTCGATCCCAGGACAGCGGGATCATGACCTGAGCCAAAGGCAGATGCCCAACCGACTGAGCCACCCAGGCACCCCTGTTTTTAGTACTCTTGAGTCTACACCCAGGAGTGGGATTCTGTATTTAACTGATTGAGGAACCATCAAACTGTTTTCCACAGCAGTTATACCATTTTGCATTCCCACCAGTAATGTAATGTATGATGTTTCCAGTTTTTCTACATCCTTGCTAGCACTTGTTATTTTCCTTCCCCGCCCCCCCCCCATCCTACGGGGTGTGAAGTGGTATTTCATTGTGGTTCTGATTTGCATTTCCCTAATACCTAGTGATGTTGAGCATTTTTTAAGGTTTTAAAAACTTTCAAGTTTTTAATTTTGATGAAGTTCAATTTATCTATTATTTCTTTTTGTTGCTTGGGCTTTTGGTGTCATGTCTAACAAACCATTGCTAAATCCAACGTAATAAAGACTTACTCTCATGTTATTTCTAAGAAGTTTATGGACTTAGCTCTATAGAAGTTTAGGTCTTTGATCTATTTTGAGTTAATTTTTATATATGGTGTGAGATAGGTAAACAGTTCTTTAGGTGAGCTTTGCTGAAAAGTGGAGGAAAAATAAAAGCAATAATTGGTAGAGAAAGTAGAGTCAAGTGAGGCTTGTTGTTTAAGGTTTTAAGATAGGAGAAATAATGGTGTGGGAATGGTCTATACAGAGGGAACACTGATGATACAGGAGGGAGGTAAGGGTTGTTGGAGTGATACCCCTTGGAAAGGGAGATGGGATCAGACCCAGAGTGTGAATGGAAGGACTGGCTTTGGACAGATGCATGAGTAGTTCACTTTAATAAAAAGAGGCAACAGGGTATATTGGTATAGATGCTGGGAAGAGAGTAGGTGTGATGATGGTGGCGTCTGTTAAAGTTCTTCTAATTACTTCAATTTTCTTAATGAAGAAGAAGGCAAGGTCATTAGGCAAGAGCAGGTTGGAGCTGTTGGGATTATGAGACTATGAGAAGGTGTGGATTATTTTTCAAAAGAGATACAGAACAGACTAGAGAAATATATAGTGGTAGACACTTGAATATCATGATCATGTATCTAAAGTGAAAACAGGGGCACCTGGATGGCTCAGTCGGTTAAGCATCGGACTCTTTTGGCTCAGGTCTTGATCTCAGGGTTGTGAGATGAGCTCTGCCTTGGGCTCCTCCACGTTGAGCAGGGAATCTGCTTGAGATTTTCTCTCTACCTCTGCCCGTCCTCCCCGCTGTCTCTCTCTCAAAATAAATAATTCCTTAAAGTGAAAACAGCGTGGGGAAGTGTTTCCTTCAAGAGCAGTTGCTCAGTATGGTTGGAATAAGTACAGGTGGAGAGTTGGGTCTTTCCAGGTTTGTGGTTTTGTCTAGTGAGGATAATGGGCTTGCACAGGGCTTGAGAGTGAAAGCATGGGAGTGATTTTAATGGTTGACCTTAGAATTTAAGCTGGTTAAGAAGGGAAAAGAAGGGCACCTGGGTGGCTCAGTCGTTAAGCATCTGCCTTCGGCTCAGGTCATGATCCCTGGGTCCTGGGATCAAGTCCCACATCAGGCTCCTTGCTCGGCAGGAAGCCTGCTTCTCCCTCTCCCACTCCCCCTGCTTGTGTTCCTGCTCTCGCTATCTCTCTCTCTGTCAAATAAATAAAAATCTTAAAAAAAAAAAGGGAAAAGAAAAGACAACCAAAGGAGTGAGGCAAAGTGAAAGAGGTGGTAGGAATAATGGATTGAAGATGGGATCAAATGATTGTTGGGATCAAAAGATTGTTGAAGTTCCGGAGTGCTGAAAAGGTAGGAGATAGTGGTCAGGATGCAGTTGCTGCGTTGTGATTATGGAGGGGTTACAGACCTGAGTATAACTGAAGGGTGTAGGAATGAAAATGAGATCACTAGAAGAGAGGAGTTCCAGCAAACGAGAAGTCAGGGTGTTGGAAGATCATCTATGTAAAAATTGCCAGGAATGAAGATGAGTAGGGTTGTAGAGAGTGTGTGAGTAAGGAGTTGAAATGACTGAGTAATGAGGGAAGTGACTCTTTTGTTGGTGGATGAGGACAAAGATGAGGACCAACAGGGATAAAGCCTGAGGACATGGAGATTATTAGGGTGGAGAGGCGGATAACTGATGTGGAAGAAGTGATAAAGAGCAAAGGGGTTATCTCCCTCTGGGTCAAGTTGTTTCAGGACTATGGAAAGAACAACAAAACAGGTGAGGTTGAGAGGGCCGAGGGGCAGCGTTTTCCTCAGGGGAAGGGAGCCAGGATTTGTTTTCAACAAGGTGGTGAAGGAAAAGATTTGAGAGAAGAGGTTGAGGATGCAGGGGATTTTGCTGCTTAAATATAAATACTAAGTACCTTGAGGTCAAGGGCTGAGTTATATTCCTCTTTGTATTCCTTTCAGGGCAGTGGTTGTACATAAGTTTTCAATAAATACTTGTATTTAGTAAATGACTATTGAATGAATAAATGGGAAAGAGTTAAGACCCAGAAAGAGAAAATACTGTTTATTGAGCACCTACTACGTGCATGTTTTTAACATAAATACATTCTGATTTAAAAAGCATCAAGTAGTGAAATTGAAAGTCCTCTAGTATTTTCTTTTAGTGTGGTAGTTCAATCAGTTTGTAATCCCAGGCCTTACACTGCATATGCTGGTTGATATGGGGAGAAGTCATCCTTCTAAGAAAGGAGGAGAATGCTCAAACCTTTTAAAATAAGGAGACCCAAAATAATAATAATAATGGTAACAAGTATTAAACAACTACCATCATTAGTAAAAAGTTATTTTATTAAAAAATTAGATAATACTTGTAAAAGAGTTCTTTCAATTATGTAACAATACAAGGTATTACTACTATTTCCATTTACACCTAAGAAAGACGGTTAAATTAATCATTTGTTCAAGGTCATACAGTAAGTGGCAGAGCTGGGACTAGGACTCAGGTCCCTTTCTTCTTGAGCATTGCCACAGTAGAATCCAGAAGGTAATGAGACCATTGGTGCTAGTAAGGAGGTCACAGAATTGGGACCTGTGACCCTAAACTCTGTCATAAAGCCAGTAGTTCCATTTATTGGCATTATACTTCCTCTTCCTATACTATTGCTCTTTTCATTTGGCTGCTTTCTACTTGTTTTTTTTTCCGCTTTTCTTTTCTTCTGCCATTATCAACTTGTTTCCTCTTATAATTCTTTGTGTCTGTTGTTCTCGCATCCGTGGCAGAGGACGATCCTGTTATAATTTTAGTTTTTAACTTAGATTAGTAATATGTAACATGGAAGATAATAAAAAAAGAAGTTTGAAACCACTATACTGGGAATTAATTTATTTCCCAAGTAGGATGAAACATGAAAAAGCTCTCTTTCTCTGAATGTTTGAATTTATCTGATCCTTTCTGTAAGCTGCTGTTTTTTTCTTGTATGACAAGAAAAAAAAGGTTCCATTAATGGAATATTGGAAGAAGCAGTTTTTCATTTATTAGGAGGAGTTGATACCTTGTTTTATGTTTAGACTCACTCAGTTTGGATTGATTAAAAAAATGAACCAGTGATCCATATGGAGACCTTACTGGCTGTTTTTTGTTTGTTTGTTTAGCTACCCCAAAGATCAGACAGACAAAATGTGTTTATATTTTTCACAAGAATTGAAATTCTGTTTCCTAAGATTAAAATATTTTTTCTTTATCATTTTAGACCAGTCTGCTTAGTTTTAAGTGAAATTCCTTTTATGTCTACTTGGTTTTTACTTGTGTCAACATTTAGGTGAGTCAAACCAATATTTATATGTTTTCAGTATAGTTCTCATAAACTCATTTAAAAATTTTTTACAAAGTGATTATGTTTTGAATTAGCAATTCTTTTTGATGTTTTTCCTGTTTTCTCTTAACAGTATGCTACCTCTTCTACTGAAGGATGAACTCCTAATGCCCTCAGTTGTGACAACAATGGCATTTTTTATAGCTTGTGCAATTTCTTTTTCAATATTTGAAAAGACTTCTGAAGAAGAACTGCAATTGAAGTCCTTTTCCATTTCTGTTAGGAAATATCTTCCATGTTTTAAATTTTTTCCCAGAATTATACAATATTTGGTAAGTTGTTCAGTTTTTTTGTTTTTTTTTAAGAGACAGTGCTGTGAGGGGAGGGGCGGAGAGAGAGGGAGAGAGAATCTTAAGCAGGCTCTATGCCCAGTGAGGAGTCCAATGCGGGGCTCAGTCTCACAACCTTGAGATCATGACCTGAGCCGAAATCAAGAGTTGGACACTTAACTAACTGTGCCATGAGTTGTTCAGTTTTTAAGGGATGGGACTTAGCATGCCACTGTTAAAAAAAAAAAAAAAAAAATACCTTTTTCTTTTATAGCTTTTTTGAGATATAATTCACATAAATTCACCCATAAAATCCACCCATTTAAAGTGTGCAACTTGGTGGTTTTAAGTATGTATATAGAGTTGTACAACCATGACCACAATCTAATTTTAGATTATTTCCATCACCCCAAAAAGGAACCCTCTTTTCATTAGCAGCCATATCCCATTCCACCCTAAACTCCAGCCGTGGACAGCCAGTAATATACTTTTTGTACCTACATATTTACCAATCTGGACATTCCAAAAAATGGAATGTATTAGTTTGCTTTGCCATAACAAAATACCACAGACTGGGTGGCTTAAGTAACAGAAATATATTTTCTTAGAGTTCTGGAGGCTTGAAGTCCAAAATCAAGGTGCCTTGGGCGCCTGGGTGGCTCAGTCGTTAAGCGTCTGCCTTCGGCTCAGGTCATGATCCCAGGGTCCTGTGATCGAGTCCCATATCGGGTTCCCTGCTCAGCAGGAAGCTTGCTTCTCCCTCTCCCACTCCCCCTGCTTGTGTTCCCTGTCTCACTGTCTCTCTGTTGGGAAAAAAAAAAAATCAAGGTGCCTCATCAAGGTTTCTGGTGAGGCCTTTCTTTTTTTTTTTTTTAAAGATTTTATTTATTTATTTGAGAGAGAGAGAATGAGAGAGAGCAAGCACATGAGAGGGGGGAGGGTCAGAGGGAGAAGCAGACTCCCTGCCGAGCAGGGAGCCCGATGCGGGACTTGATCCAGGGACTCCAGGATCATGACCTGAGCCGACGGCAGTCGCTTAACCAACTGAGCCACCCAGGCGCCCCCCTCTGGTGAGGCCTTTCTTTCTGGGTTATAGGCAACCTTGCTGTGGCCTCATATGGCCTCTTCTTTGTGTGGGTGTGTAGAGAGTTCTGTGGTGGCTCTTCCTCTTCTTATAAGAACACTAATCCTATCAAATTAGGGCCCCTCCTTTACTACCTCAATTTAACCTTCCTAAAGTTTCTGTCTCCAAATGCATTCACGTTGGGGGTTGGGACTACAACATATGAATTTTGTGGGGACATAATTCAGACCATAACATGGAATTATAGAAAATGTAGTCAGGGCGCCTGGATGGTTTAGTGGAGTGTCGACTCTTGATCTCAGCTCAGGTCTTGATCTCAGGGTTGGGGGTTTGATCCCCATGTTGGACTCCATGCTGGACGTGGAGCCTACTTTAAAAAAAAAAATGTAGGCTTTTATAACTGGCTACTTTCACTCAGCATAATGTTTTTGAGGTTCATCTGTGTTGTAGCATGCATCGATACTTCATTCTTTTTTATTGCCATACTATATTCCATTGTAATGGACATTATCTGTTCATCAGCTTTTTTTTTTTAAGATTTTATTTATCTTTTTATGTGCTCTTTGGCCATTTGTGTTATCTTCTTCGGAGAAATGCCTATTCATATCCGTTGCCCATTTTTAATTGGCTTGTCTTTTTATTTTTGAGTTGTAAGAGTTCTTTATACATTCTTGATATAGGTCCCTGACCAGATACATGATTTGGAAATATTTCTCCTATTATGTAGATTTCCTTCACTTTTTTTTTTTTTAAAGATTTTATTTATTTGACAGAGACACAGTGAGAGAGGGAACACAAGCAGGGGGAGTGGGAGAGGGAGAAACAGGCTTCCCGCAGAGCAGGGAGCCCGATGCGGGGCTCGATCCCAGGATGCTGGGATCATGACCTGAGCCGAAGGCAGACGCTTAACGACTGAGCCACCCAGGTGCCCCAAATTTTGACATTTTTTAATTGAGTTAAAAATATAGGCCATTTCCATTGTGATTTCTTCTTTGGTTCATTAATTACTTAGAAACTTGTTCAGTTTCCAAATATTTGGTGATTTCCCAGGGGTGCCTGGCTAAGTCGGTTAAGTGTCCGACTCATGATTTTCGTTGTCATGATCTCATGGGTCATGAGGTAGAGCCCTGTGTGGGGCTCCTTGCTCAGCCAGGAATCTGCTTGAGATTCTCTCTCTCCTTCTCCCCTCTGTTCCCAACCCCCCTCCCCACCCTGCACAAGTGCTCTCTCTCTCAAGTAAATAAATAAATCTTCATCTATTTGGGGTTTCCCAGATTTCTTTTTGTATTTTCATTTAATTCCAATGTGTTTAGAGAACACACTTTGTATCATTTCCGTGTTTTCAAATGTATTGACTTTGTTTTTGTTAATTCTTTCTTCATTTTGAAGAGTGTTTTTTTTTTTAAAGATTTTATTTGAGAGTGCATAAACGGGGGCGGGGGGGGAGGTGGTGGTCAGAGGGAGAGACAGACTCCCTGCTGAGCATGGAGCCCGATGTGGGACTCAGTCCCAGGACTCCAGGATCATGACCTGAGTCAAAGGCAGTCGCTAAGCCAACTGAGCCACCCTGAAGGGTATTTTTGCTAGAGAAGGAATTCTTGTCTTTTTCTCCTTTCAGCAATTTGAATGTCATCCATCCCACTGCCTTGTGGCCTCAGTGTTTTCTGATGAGAAGTCAGCTGTTAATCTTATTAAGGATAGCTTGTACTTGTAGTTTTAGATGCTTATTACATATGCATTTGAATGAGTCTGGAGTTTAGGGGCGAGAGGTCCAGGCTGGAGACAATAATTTGAGTCTTTGGCATAGAGATGAGAATTAGTCATGTCACTGAATGAGCTCACCAAAGGTGTGAGTATATTAGACGACTAAGTACTGAGCCTTGGGATATTACAATGCATAGAGGTAGGGGACATGAGAAGGAACCAGCAAAGCTGTCTGAGAAGGATTAACTATTGAGGTGGGAAGAAACCAGAAGAGTATAGTGTTACGGAAGTTAAGGAAGTGTTTCAAGGAGATGGGAGTGATGTGCTATTTCAGATGCTATTGAGATATAGTTTCATTGGATCAACTGAGGTAAAAATCTAATTGGTTTGGATTCAATAATGAATGGAAAGGGAATTGGATGCAGTAAGTTATAGGCAACTCCTTTGGGAAACTTTGCTGTAAACAGAAGCAGACAAATGGGGTAATAGCTGGAGTTTGTTTAAATCAGGAGGAATTTTAGGGCACCTGGGTGGCTCAGTCAGTTAAGCGTCTACCTTTGGCTCAGGTCATGATCACAGGGTCCTGGGATCAAGCCCTGCATTGGGCTCCCTGCTCAGCGGGGAGTCTGCTTCTCCCTCTGTCCCTCACCCCACTCGTGCTCTCTCTCTCTCTCGCTCTCTCTTTCAAATGAATAAATAAAATCTTTAAAATAAAAAAAATAATAAAGTAGGAGGAATTTTAACATACCCCTTAACACTGATTCAGGATCATAGTGTCATGACATTTCAACCAGTCCCATATTTCTTATTTGAAACTTTCTTCTTTTTAAGATTTTCTTTATTTAAGAGGGGAGGGAGCAGAGGGGGAGGAAAAGGGAGAGGGAGGGGGAAAGAATCTCAAGCAAACTCTGTTCTGAGTGTAGAGCCTGATTCGAGGCTCGGTCTCACAACCCTGAGATCATGACCTGAGCCAAAACCAAGAGTCAGAAACAACTGACTGAGCCACGCAGGTGCCCATTAAGTTTGAAACTTTAAATTTGATGATTTCACTTCAGAAGTTTTTACTTTTCAATAAGGTTGACAGGGATTTTCCCTTTGGAGGATATTTGCGGCCTGTTTATACCTGTTTGTCAGCTTTTTTGGTTATTATCCTTCCCAGGCTTCCATCTGGAATGAGCACTGCATTACTCTATTCAGGTTTTTAAATCCTGTTATAATATAGCCATTAAAACATCTTTGTGGGTTCCATTTATGTCCCACATCCTTCATGAAAGTCACTATGATTTCTGCTTGCTTTCTACATTTACTTAAGCAGCTTCTGTGTACTTACGTGCTATGGCAGGGTAAAATGACTAAGATCTGGCTGGTCCTTGTCTTAAAGGAGCTCACAGTCTAGAGCTAAACTGTCCAATACGGAAGGGGCGCCTGGATGGCTCATTTGGTTAGGCATCTGACTCTTGATTTCGGCTCAGGTAATGATCACAGGGTCCTGGGATCGAGCCCTGCATGGGGCTCCATGCTCAGGAGGGAGTCTGCTTGAGGTTCTCTTCCATCTTCCCCTCCTCCTCTCCTCTGTGCATACACTCTCTCTCTCTCTCAAATAATAAATAAGTAAATCTTAAAAAAAAAAAAACTGTCCAATACAGTAATCACTAGACACATTAAAAATTTAAACTTAGTAAAATTAAATAAAAAATTCAGCTCAGGGGCGCCTGGGTGGCTCAGTCGGTTAAGCGACTGCCTTTGGCTCAGGTCATGATCCTGAAGTCCCAGGATCGAGTCCCGCATCAGGCTCCCTGCTCGGCGGGGAGCCTGCTTCTCCCTCTGACCCTCCCCCCTCTCATGTGCGCTCTCTCTCTCTCATTCTGTCTCAAATAAATAAATAAAATCTAAAAAAAAAAAAAATTCAGCTCAGTCACAATAGGCATGTTTTGAATGCTCAATGGCCACATGTAGTTAGCAGTTACTCTTTTGATGTACACAGGTATAGAACATTTCCATCATTGCAGAAAGTTCTATTGTACAGCGCACTAGTCTAAAGAAAACTGACTGCTACACAATTACAATAAATGAAGTATTTTTACTACTCACTTTGGCATTTAATAAAATGTGACCTTGTGATTTTATTTAATTAGTTCATGTATTCCCCTAATCAAATTGAAAACTCTTTGAGGCCAGATTACATTTTCTTTCATATGCTCCACCATGACTTACTACAGCATTAGCTCATTGAAAGTGTTCCATGAATATGAAATGCAATTTTCTATTTGCCATGGAAGGCTTTTTTATAGACAAGTTCTGAGATTAGCTCAAGACCCTGGAGCATACCCTGAATTTAACCCTAACTAGCAATATTGTCTGTTCCAGATAACTTTCTTTAGTACTTGGGTGGTATTAAGTATGATAGGGGTTGTTAGGCTTTGGCTACACATGGGAATCATGTGGAAAGCTTTTAAATCCCGAGGCCTACCCCAGAAAATCTGATTTAATTGGTCTGAAGTGTGGCCTGGCATTGAGATATTTATACCTACCCCCAGATGATTCTAACATGTGGCCTAGGTTGAGATCCACCAGTAGAAGAGATTGGACCCCCACCCTTCACCTTCAATTCTGCTCACTTAGAGCTATAAGTAAATATTACCAGTACATTTAAATTTATCTTTTATATTACTCAGTAATGTTTTTTCCCCTCCTTATAGTTTCTTATCTCAGTCATCACTATGGTACTTCTGACACTGATAACTATCACACTGGAACCTCCTCAGAAACTACCGGACTTATTTTCTGTATTGATTTGTTTTGTATCCTGCTTGAACTTCCTGTTCTTCTTGGTATACTTTAACATTATAATCATGTGGGATTCCAAAAATCGAAGAAATCAGAAGAAAATCAACTAATTCTGTCTCCACAAACAAATGTGAAAGTATTAACAGTGCTTAAAGGTTTTTTTTTTTAACTTTTTTGCTATGTATAAATGAAATGATCATTTTGAGAATCACATAGGGAAAAAATGGTGAAAAGTCACTGTTGTCCATATACAAAATAAATGTATATGGGGACCCAAGCCCAGTGGAGGCTTTTATTTTCTAACTATAGAGTGGCCAAGACATACTGTAGTTTTATTAATATTCAGTTATCCAAGTGGGAAAATAAGAGAAAATGCCCTTAATCCACAGTGTTTACTCAGGAAATGTACTCTACAATTTGTTGTCTTAAAAAGAAATCTGCAAATCCAGTGAGCCTACTGGGAAAATCAAGTCCTTCTTTTTAAAGGAAATCATGAATTTTGGTATTTAAATTTAGTTTTCGTTACATTTTAGAATGCAAGTAAGTGTATATTTCATTCTTTAGAAATTATATCTCAGGGATTAAATTTGTGATCTTTTTAATTACTGTGAGAAGGCAATTTAAAGTGCTTGAAGTTTGAACATGCCTTATTACATGTGGAAATTTGATTTCTTTATAAAAAGGCAGAGAGATTAGACCATGTTCTTATTTCTAAAAATGCTAATTTACTTTAATACAATTAAACAGTGAATTTTACTGAATTTAAGTGTGTTTTTTTTTTTTTTTAATTTCCCATGTTCACTAGTTCTAAACTTCTAGGATCATTCTGTGTAAGTTAAATGGTTTTATACAAGATTTCATCCTTTTGATCTTTTTTGAGTGGTTCAAGATTACCACTTCCATAAGCATTGATTCGTATCATGTTTCATGTTAACTTGGCCCTGTTAATAACATATATCATTGTATATTAGGAGCTCATCTTTACTATCACATTCAATTGGCAAAAATAATGTCGTATCTATGTTATAGTTTCTTATGTAAAGATTGTTCTTTTGGGAGGGCAGGGGGAAAAAGAAGATGTGTTCTCTTTAGTCTCTGTGTTAAGAATAAAACAATTATTTTCACATCAACCTATGGTTTTTAATGAATATATTTCTTTCATAAGACATCTGTTAAAGTATATTGACTAAGTGGTGATATATTTTAAAACAGTGAACATATATACACAAAGAAAATCTGGTTCTAGACATGGACAGCCACAGGCCGCAAGAAGGTATGTGCTTCTAAGTCTGATAAAGGAAGTCGGTTTAGACAAAGCAAAAATCAGGAAGTATTTCTTTCTCAAAGCAAATGTGCATAAAGACTCAAAGGGCAGGTCAGCACAGAAAAGCAGCCTTGAATCATTGCCGAATCAGCAGGAACATCGCTGTCCATGGTCACCATCTGTAATCACTGTGCCCAAATGTCAGCATCTTGGCTGGCTGGTGTAGTCCTATTTTTTTATTTTTTGTAATAGCATACATGGGTTTAACACGGGATGCTGATTTAAATCAGTGATGAGGAAGTCCTAGCTTCTAAATAACTGGAGCAGAGAAACATTTAAAAATAAAAGTATATTATATAAATAATAAAGTAGAATGCACCCATATTCAAGGTATCTTAAACGTAAATCCTCTAAATACACGTTTTCCTCAGAAATTTAATCATATTGAGTAACACTGTAGCTTTTATGGAGACCTGTAGCAACTACCTCAAAAGTCAAGTATCTCTTATATCCATTAGAAGCCAATTTAAGAAGAGTCCACTTTGACCTTTGAAGGATTAGGTTCCAAAATACCAAAAATGTCCATTGATGAATTAAGATCACAGAAACAGGCAATTCCAAAGTACCTCTCTCAGCTACACTCAGGCTTATTGGGATGTTATAATATAAAGATATTTAGATAATGCAAAAATATTGAAGATTTCTCAGTTATTTCACTAATATATACCTGTCAAGGAATGAACCCTTCCAAGTTATTTTCAAGCTCATTTTAGAGGGAAGGGCTGTTTCTGAGAAATACAGTTTTCTGTTACCAATGAACTTAGGCTTGCTTCTTAAAATGAAGAGCATGTTCATGTATCAAATATGAAGCATACAGAAGCCATTTTCCCTTGAGGCGTTAAGGAGGGGAGAAAAATCCCAGATGTAGCATTCTGTCCAAATGATAAACCACAACGGAGTGAGTGAAACATTTACAAAAGTCAAGGCAGCCAAAGGAGCCTCTCTGTTCAATAGAAAGAGTAAAAGATGGATAGGATGTAACTAAATAATGGTTGGAGTAACACAGGGGTTTCAAGTCTCAATTGGTCTCTTCTGTTACGCTCATTGGAAGATCAGGGCCAAGTGTATCCCCCCCTCCCCCACCGCCTTCCTCCATGCCATACCCCGCCTTCCTCCATGCCATACCCCCCTCCCCCCCATATAAACATTAGTTTTGTGTGTGGATCTTTCTGCTTTGTCCTTCATGTGGCCTCCAAGGGTGATAAAGCGAGAGTCATCTGATCTACAATGAAGAGAACTGGGAAATGATTCTTAGCAGACCCAGCTGTTCTGAAAGGCAAAAGCTTAGTGTATTGAGGTCAAACATATAGTAACTGATTTAATAGCATTAAGCACATACTTACATAACTTGCATTATATATGCAACCAATCTATTTCTTAACCCTTTTTTTCCTGACTAATACAAGTTTCTTTATATGCTTTGGCTTACATCCTAAGGTTAGTTTTCAATGCTAGAACACAAAGGAATTAGCCTTTTTGGTATATTTAGGTAATGTCCTATTATAAGGTCTGTATCACAAAGTGTTCTTAGTATTTAGCAGACAGATTATCTTTAAAATCTTATTTAAATAGTACCAATAAAATCATTTGTGAAGGGAATTAGGTTTAATAGTTAATTGATGTCATTTAATAGTTTTTAAAAACTCATTTTCATTTTAAGAGGTAAATCTGAAGTTTATCTAAATGGAGAATCAGTTATTTTCAAACTTAAGTTAAATTTTGTTTCAGATTTTCATATAGTATTTTTATTTACATGATACAGTAATATACAAATTTTGTCAAGACTTAGGGCAAGTACCAAGGGAACAATATTTTTTCCCCTGTAGAGATGGTCAAAGAAAAATACAGAGGTTTTAAAAAAAACATGTCATTAATTTATAACATATCCTGTAATTCCCATTTCCCCTTTATTTTGTGATAGAACGAGGATGATACAAAATAACACCACAGAAAAATAGAAATTTAAATTAATGCTTCAAAGTAATTTGCAGGTGAACACATACCCCATAAAAAAGTTCTTTTCTTTAAATTCAGTAGAATCTGTGTAGTTCAGTTTAAGAACAACTTCATATTTAAAAATATATTTGTACTGAAAAATGCATTTTATAAAAGGTGTGAAAAATTTAAAACTTTGAATATCGTTTTTTTGTATAAGCATAGAAATAACTAGAGTATAAAAACTCATCCCTGAGATAGTGGCTACACAATAAACTTCTAGAAAAATTTTAGAAGTTTAAAAAGAATCTAATACGCATTTGGGGCTTTACATGGGAAAGTGGTACCTAATTCCACTCACCATTAAATTTAATCTGAGTTTTAAAACATTTTACCAAAATGCCATCTTCATAAATGCTTTAAATCTATCCACAAATGCTAAAAGGATACAGAAGTGTATGTGATACAGAATAGAAGTTAATATCCTCTTCTACATGTTGGCTTACTTTAAAGGGTCAAGAAGAAATGTATTATTTACATTGAGATTATCTACTGGTGTGTGCAGAAAGTTTAAATTAGCTGCAAGAAATTTTATCTAGACACGCACCTGCCTGGTGCTATGATCTGGTATTTACTGGGCAGATTAATTACAAACATTTCTTCTGTTCCTTTAAATACGATCAGGCAGATGCAGAAGAAGTTGGTTTTCACAGTAAGTGCATTTCTTTTAAATGCCTGCAGGATATAAAAGATGATTATTAAATCAAGAATTAGTTTCCAAATTAACATGCATCTATACACTACTTAAATGATTTAAACAACCCATTTACCATGTAATTTGGTACCTAGTTTAGATACTGGTAATCTCTCATTTGCTTATTTTTGGGTCTTCTAACAAGATTTACCTTCACAAATAATTGTCAATAGGGCTACTCAGACATCACACTCTTCACTTTATGTGATGATCGATCTTGAACTACTGAGAGATTTCTAAAACTCCTACATGACCTACTTGCTGAAAACACCAAAATCTACACGCCTTTTGTCTATAAGCCTTAAGGGCCTTTCAGCAGGTGTTTCCTCCAACAGCTGCCCCCCAAAAAAAGAGACTGTATTTACTGGCATTCCTATTCAGAGCATGTCCCTCTGGGGCCTCCTAGTGGTGGCAGAAGTTCTTGTCGTTTGGTTTAGAAGCCATTGGCAAGTGATGGCATATTTCCCATAGGGCTCGTGGACCTTTCACTCCTGAAATATCCCCTTCCATACTTACATTGGCAGCTATTAAGAAGTAATGCATGGCAGGCTCCTATATTTCCGTATTCATGGGAGTCCACATATATTCTTTTCCTAGAAGAAGGTAGGTTGCCAACCTGACAACCACCAACTCTTGCCAATTTGAGTCTGGTCTGGATTCCTATAGAAGATTTTAAGCACTCTAGTGTTCACTTAATATCCCTACAGGTTACTGATACACAGTTATCAGAACTAATGACAATACTATATAGGAAAGTAAGACTATATTAGTTACTATGGGGGAGATGCTAGTTAAGTTTATTTTGTACAATCCCACAAGGTAAATATATCAGTCCCATTTTATAATTAAGGTTTAGGGGAACCAAGTTCCTTGTTAAGGCCACAGAGCTAAGTAGATAACAGAGCTGGTGCTGGACATGTAATCCAAATCCTGTCCTCTGTTATTATGCCAGACCATGCAAAGGAGTTTCATCAATTGATCAGGACTGCTAGAAGTGTGCTGAGAAAGATTCTGACACCAAATTCAGGATCCAGCAAAAATAAAGACTGTGATCAATGTGATATATGTCACAACACAAGAATACAGTAGCATGTATATTATCTCTACACTGCCATACTGGTTCTGGAGATGAATGTCTCAGAACACAAAAAGCAATTTAGAGACAGTGATGCAGTTCATGAGCAGTATTTTGACAGGAATTATCATTCATATAGCAATTATATTCTTTCTAAAACATATTTTGGATTGTTGCTTCCCTAATAATCTTCACTGGTCTACTTCTGCCTAATGAATAAAGTCTGAACCAATTAAGCCTGGTGATCATAATTGTCAATGATGTGGTTGAACCTACTTGTTTAGTCATTCTGCTTTTCTGCCTTTTGTGTTCATGTTGTTCTCTCTGCCTAGTATGTTTATACAGCCCATCAAAATGACCCATTTCTCAAGTTCAAACTTCCTAGTAAAGTACAAAGTTTCCATTACTAGGGTCTGGATGGTCCTCTGTCAGAGATAAGGCAGAGTGGAATAACTAGAATTATTTTAATGTCATGAACTCTTAAATAATGACCTAATAACTCTATCCTGAGGTCATCTATGTCTGTTGTGTATTCCTATACTGTTGCTTATTCTTCATTTGGTTCTTAGAGAGGAATGTTTATACTCCTTAGTCTGAAGAGGAAGGAACTGTCAACTCTTCTGCTCTCTCTACCCCATGGAGGAGTGACAAACGTGACTGGCCAAAGTCCAGAACATCGATCCATATTTTACTAGTAATATTATATGTCACTCTTCTTACGCAACACCCTTTCCCTGTCTACTCTCAAGTCCAATGGGTCCTTGTGCTTCCTAATTTCATGTTGTAAGGAGACCAGCCCATTCTGTTGATCTCATCTGCAATCAAGCATAGGCAGGTCTGTGGTCTTTTCTATTGTAGAGGTACATGGACATGGGGTTTATTTCAAAGATCCAGCTTTCTCCTCAGGTTCAAGATTGAGATTCAAAGGGTTCAAGATTTAGACTCAGTGTGGGAGAGAGGAGATTCCACTTCTGCCTTAGGCACACTCCATATTAGTTACCCTAAGCTTCTGCCAGAGGGCCTGCCATGTTAGAGGTTATCAGTTCCTCCACTAATCAAGTTGAGACTTTGATCCTAAATGGACTCATCCTTTTTTGTGCTTGCTATTGCCAGAATCCTGGAAAGAAGAGGGTTCTGAACTTGTATTGCTCTTCATATCTTGCCTTATATTATTATCGTTTCATGTATAGAATATAAATCTTGTCTCTTTAGCTTGATGACTGGGTTTTAAAAGGTTGGCATTGTGCAAATGCTATGTTTATACTAAGCCTCATAGTTTTGTTAACCAAGTGATTTATCCAGGTAAGCTGTGGTCACATTAGGGAGAGTTCAGAATGTTAGTATAAATTTGGATTTTACTGTGAATATGGTAGAGTGATTCCTTCTTAAGCATGATCTATCCAGTAGCAGGACAGGCTGTAGGAAAGAAGGACCAAAGGGCAGAAAGGCAGGTTACAGTAGGGATGATGAGGTCATGAAGGAATAAACTAGTGCCGGGGGCATGGGAGGGAGAGGTAAACATTTTTAGAAGTTATCTGACCGCCTGGCAGCAGTTGCACATGTGGGCACACAAAAGGGACAGAATTTTGAGGTTTTGAGCCTTATTACTGGGTGAATGTAATCCCTAGAAAGGTAGAATGAGGAAGAAATTTGGGGGAAAATGATGAAATTAGGGTACCTGGGGGACAATATATGGCAGCTGATATTGTGGGTTTACGGAGGGTCAAAAATGGATTTGGAAACCATAAATTGCACTAAGGTGAGAACTAGGGTCAAGGAATGGGTAAGATCATGAGGAAAGCACCCAAAGAAGAAAACACAGTCAAAAGAACCCAGGGAAATGCCTCAAAGGTTTAGTCCAGTTTCATTTCATTGTTATTTCTCTCCACTGCTTCCCACTAAAAGGGAAGTTGAGTGGTAGGTCAACCTTCATTCTTGCAAGTTTTTTCTAAGTACTACTCATATTAAAGACTCAGAAGAACACCCTTAATATTCTAATCTTTATTAGAATCCAGGAACACAAAGCTATACTCAGTACTCTGAGTTCCCCAAAGTTCATGAATGACCATCATATACTAAATGTGTATGTTATTAGCCAGATGTATAACTGTAACTATGTATTTATGATCGCCCTCTAATAGTTGTCTGTTGGACTGCTATGGACCCGAAATTGTACAAAATGTTTAACCCTATAATGAGTACGTGTGTATGTGTATATATATTAGATCCTTACTATTGCATAGGATCTAAAACCTTTGACCAGCAGTGAAACCTGACACTCATAGTTTACTATTGTGAGTGGGCAAAGCAAAGACTCTGGTACCAGCCTACTCAGGTTAGTATCCTGGCTCTGTCTCTGAGGTAATTCTAGAACAAGGTTATTAACCTCTTTGTGCCTCAGTTTCCTCACCTATAAAATAAAGACAATAACTGTATATCATGTAAGTTGTTAAAAAGGTTGAATGGAATCTGTATGAAGTGCTTACTATAGTACCTGGCATGTTGACAGTGCCTAATAAGTATGAGCTATTATTATAAACTATTATTTGTTGCATACAACAGAATAAACATTTTAATGAATGAAAAGTGACGCAATTTTGTATATAAGATGCTTTGCAAATATTTTTAAAAACCATTAGTTAGGAAGCTAATACTAATCGTTTGAAATACCATTTCCAAAGAAAAGTATTTTCAGTATAGAATTTATTTTGCCTTAATTTTTTTCTAAGAGATAATCTCTTAGAAATAAAGCAAGTTATTTACACCTCATAGCAGGCAACATCTGGTTAGCTTCTAAGAATCTTAATTAATACTGATGCCACTAAGTGTGGGGTAGGCTAGTTCTTAACGCGAACCTTCAGTTACAGGCACATTAGACGCTAATATCACATTATGACTCATATTGCTTCTAGCTAGTATGTTCTAATAAGCTAGTTATAAATCTATCATTTTTACTTATATTGCTGAATCTACAGGGAACTGTTCTGAAGGAAAGATACACTAATTAATATATAATTATTTACTTAATTCAGCACATTTCCAAATTCATAGAATCCTTCTATCTTGTTCAGTTACATGTGTCCTACAGAAACTATAACCCACCTATCAGTACCTAGTTAGTTATTTATAAAGGTGCTAAATCAAGAGCCCTCTATACACTCACCTAAAAATATGGGCTTTTTGACTTTTAAAGCTAGGCTAATGAGCTCAACAGTTCTTTTCAATCAGCCTCTCATACAACTTGTCAGACTATCCTATTATTTATAAAAAGATTAAATATAATTTCAAAAACACCTCCAAAGCTCACTCCCTATTTTATTCATAGACAGACAGTACCAAATTTGAGAATATAAATAAAATGTTTCCACCTGAACAAAACAGTGAAATTTAACAAGGCTAACCTTAATTAGAATGGTGAAACCCTACCTCAGTTTAAAATGCCTTTAAGGAATTCATAGCTGTCAAGATGATATAATTCTATAAGAAAGAAAAAAAGATTTTTTTCAGAAAACAAGTCAAAGTAAGTTGTCACAGTATTCACAGTATATGATGTAGAATAAATGATTAATCAAATGAAATTAAAGAACCTAAACCTAAAATTTTATTTTACACTATAAATAGCTTTGGAATTATAAATTCTCATTTCAACATCTTACTGATTTGCCCAATTCTGTTTCAGAATGTACATTTAAGAATTTAGGATAAAAAGTGCCAAAAAACTTATCATTATAATGTATGCTTATGCTTTATTATACTTGTCTTTTGTGACATATTCTACAATCCTGAGGGCAGGACTATGTCTACCTTGTTCATTACTGTACCCCCAGTGCTAGAATAGTGCCTGGCTCATAGTAGGCATTTAGTAAATATTAAACAGATGAGGCATGTAAGGAGATTGTGATTTATAAGTATTTGAAAATATTTAAGTTCCTTTAAAAAATTCTTAGAGTGGCATTTGTTTTTACTCATTCATTGACCATGCATTGTGGACCTTCTATCAGGTTCTATACTAGGCTCTTGTTTGTTTGCCAAGGAGGAGCCCAGAAGGAGCCCTGTAACTGGACAATTACAATATACTACAATACTACAACATAATACATTTATAAACATTCAGACAGTGTTGTAGAAGGCCAGAAGAAGCAATTTAGCTTTACCTAGGTGAGCTGGGGAGAGTTTCACAGAGGATGTGACATCTGAGGCTGCCCTTAAAGAATGAGCAGGAATTTACTAGACAGACATGGGAGAAAGAGCAATCCAGGTAGAGAGAGAGAAGCAGGAGAGAGACCTGGAGTTCACAGAGAGAGAGACTCCAGAGGGCTGAAGTCACATGGTGTGAACAGTATACCTTCAAATGCCTCCTTTCCTCCTGAGTGAGGTGTGAGCTGGAGGAAAAATCACCTAATACCTTTTACGGAAGTCCTGCTTTTAACTATATAATTAGCTATATAACACTGTAAGTATCTGCTTTATTATTCTAGATATGTGTTTGATACATAAACCACTTAGAAAATTCATCTGACTCTTTTTTGAGGAGCTTTTCTGACTACTCTAAGAGTTAAAACGGGGAAAAAAATATTCACCTGTCAGGTGACATAAAACCAATTTCTACTAAATGTGCCAGAATAATTTTTCTCCACCTCAAGAACGGTTAGTCTTCAGTCTGTTCATTACTGTCTTTTTATAGTATTTTTATTTAATAAAACCTATTAAGACTACCATACAAATCTCTTTACTTATGCTTTTATCTTTTAACTGATCAATTTTTATATTGCTGACATCCTTTCTTCACCATTTGCTCATTTAAAAATTCATAGCATGTGAGATATGTCTCTGGAGAAAATGTCTATAAAATTTGTTACAGCTGGCAAATGTGGATGAGTCAGTGATAGCACATGACTAAATGCTTCACAGAAAATAAAATTTGTTTCTGTAGTAAGCAGAACTGTTTAAATGTTATTTATTTTTATGTTTCAAAGAAAATATATTGTGAAGTGCTGCATTGATTTAATACGCAACAATGTCTGTGTACATGCTGTAGAAGGAAAATTTATGAAACCTTTGCACAACTCCTTTAATTGAATTTTCCAAATCTCTCACCACACACAAATAATCAATATCTTCTGCAGAGAAAACCAGTCAGAATTATTACAGTCTTTCGTTTCAATTTTGTTGTCATCAGCACATACAGAGCACCTGGATATTCCTAATGTCTGATAGCAAGTTATTTACACCTCTTAAACACATAATTGCTACTAAGTGAGTTCAAATCTATGGTTAAATTTTTTTAACTGATTATTTAAAAGATAAAAATGATCATACTTCTAGAGAAGTATACAAAAATTTAAATCATGGAAGAAATTATTTAAAAGGCTTTGAAAAGTAATAAATCAGTTCGTTTTTCCTTAAATCCTAGACAAATCTCAAGTAAGCAGTCAAAATGTATCCCCAAAACAGTGATGAATAGTCTAAGACAAGGGCATTAACATTATTAATAGGAAAGGTACGAACCATGTACAACATGCCTGATAGGTGAATTCTGATAAAGAGCTAAAGGACTACAGTTGTACATTAATGTAGATTTGTCACCAAGACTAATATCTCCATTTTTTTTATCTCCAGATAAACCAAGAACATTAAGGCACAGGTAGGAATTTTTGTTGTTTCTTCTAAAACTCATCATGTCTAGACTTCAAACTTCAGTGCTTTTAAAACCGAAGTATTTGTTTGAAAAAAGATGCTGTTTAATGTTAAGATATAAAAAACTAAAAGGGTAGTAGTCTTCTAGGGAGTAAAATTATTTGGCCGATATGATAAATACTTTTTCAAGACTGAGTGGGGGAAAGAACAACATATTTTTAAGTTAAAAAATACTTCCGTGGGTGGTTAGAATGAAAAGGCAGTATCAAACTGTTTTATAGTCTTAGAACGGAAAGAGCTTAAAATTTGTCCTGTAGTCCAAGAATTTGAAAACTTTAAAATCCTATAACCCAGATGAATTTTACAATGTAAGACAGTAAGTTAGCTAAAGATAACAGAAATGTTATAGTTTGTGCTTTTCTTTTGAAGGCCACAGCTAAAACTCTGAAATATTTTGTATTACAAACAGTTGAGGCAACTTTTTTGAACAATGTAAAGTTCAGATGGTTACATTTCATCTCAAATATGCATACTGCAACCTACACAATTATTCTCAAAACAGATAAAATATGTTTTGGACTAAAGCTAAGTGTCTAGATTTCATATCTTGGCAACTGTTCTACAATTTGCTTACATTCTTTTCAAAAACATTTTGTTTACTGGAAGTACTGGTCATAGACAAACAATGATGGTATTTTTTAATATTTCCAGAAAAAATGAAAATACTAAGTACTATATAATGCCATCTATTGACTTAGGAATATTTGTATCAAGTTGTCTTAAGTAGAGGTTGATTATGTAAAGTAAATAAATTTCATGCCTTACCATGTGATGATAATGTGACATTCCATCTGTATCAACCCATTGAATGGTCATGTTTTAAATCTTCAGCATAACAAATTAAGAATAATTATGAAATTCACATCCAAATCTAACAGAAAAAGGACCTTTCATCTCATTATTTTTCTAAGAGTCATAAAGCCAATATTATTAAGGAAAGTAAAGTTAGGCTTCCTTCCTAAGTAACTGAAAAAAGAAAGAAAGCCTTCCTTTGTTTAAGAAATTTGTATTTAGCAGGGGAGAGACTCTTTTATTCATATACTCTATCAAAGCATTCTCTGATTTGCCACGTCCAGTTCTTTTGAAAACTATGAAAATCTCAGTGTACCTTTTCATGTTATTGTGTACATTTTAATTTCCCCTGAATGTTACATAAAGCCTTAAGAATGTGTGTCAGATGTCTATTTATTTAGAACACTAGCATGTTATTTTTACAATTATACTGTTCTGCCTATAATAAAGACTGCAACTGACGCTAAACAAGCTAGCAGTGGCATGGAAAAATAAATAGAACTAGGGGACTGACTTAAAGAAGCAACAACAGCATAAATGTTGGAATTTTCCTGATACTGTCTATTTTAACTATTCTAGGAAAATTTTATGAGAATCTGAAGGACATTCTTTTGATCGTGAAACAAGTAATTTGTTCTTATTTTCATTAAGTACTTAGTAAAACAAATTCCATACATATTATGGGAGTTATTTTTATATTATATAATTTCTAATATTACGAAGATTCCCCAAACATTTTAAAATTTAAACAATTCTGAATAATAGCATAGTAAAAGAAAGGAGTAAAGTAGAAATTTCTATAAAAAGCTGAAGGCTAGATCCCCAAATAAGGAAGGTATAAAGCAAATTAGTTTGAGATGTCAAAAACACTAGCAAAGTCCTTGTAAAATGAATGTATAAATAAGAAGGTTGAAAGTTATTAACTCAGCAAAAAAATTATATATATATATAAATGTGTTGATGTGCATCATCTTTAATCAAAAACAAAACAAAACCACCAAAATAAAAAAATACATATATTATGAACCAGAAAGAGAAGAGTGAAAAACACTCAGTAAAAACACTCAAACTCAAATTATAAAGGAAATAAGCTTCAAAAGATTTTTCAGGCAACAATACTTTAAAAAAAATTAGTGGAAAAGCTAATGAAGATCTGAATACCTCAGGAAATATAAAAGCTAATGCAGCTCTTGCCAAGAAACAGAAATGGAAGATGACATATATTCTAATATATATTTTTACAGCTATCACATATTTTATTTATCTAAATTCAGTTTTCATTTAAACCACAACAAATAATCAATGCTTATTAGAAATTTTAAAACATGATTTAGTCATAGGATCTCCTTTATGCATGAATAAACACTAAGTCCTTAAGGAAAACCTGGTAATGGGCAAGTTAGTTTTAATGCCTAAAATACTAGAAAATAGTTTTAAGGCTGGTCATGCATAAACACACAAAGAATTGGTACATACTAGATAACTGAAAGGAGATAAATTTTAACACATGGAATATAACTTTAATGTCTTAATAAATGTTTAGGGAAGGAAACAATACTTTCGGAAAATTTTTTCTCATTATTAAAGTGATCCACTTATTCTACAATTTTCTCTCCCTCATTTTTCAAAACTTGGTGAAAGCCAACTCTGTAATTCTAGTCAATTCTAGGAAATTACAGATTGAAAAAAAATTCACACCACTCGCACAGAATATATAGAAGAAAGATTTCCTCTGGTTTGGAAATAATAAACATTCCAATTTCCCATTATGATCCTCTAAAACTTGTCAAGTTAAAAGAGACTGAAACCACTGAAACTCAGCTACACATTATAATCAATTTTCACAGTATAGGAGAGAAGAGATCTTAAGCCTTTTCTAAGAGCTAACTTCATATTCTTAAATTCTTGGGATCACAGTGGAAGTTAGCTGCTCTACTGAATGGCTCAGGAAACCTGCTCAGCTCTCTTCTCACATGAGCTTTGGAGGATCCTGTCAGGGCTGTTTCACTGCATTACCCAGGTGGCCTTTGGAAGTAACAGGGAATCCCAGCACTTTCCACTGCAAACTCATCACACTGGCTGTTAAAGATCCTAAATACAGTCTAATATACGAGATTGGTTGAGATGGTTTCAGTTATGCCTCATATCTGAATCTAAAAACTGGGATGACTAGATGATTTAATTTGTTATAAGAAGAGGCAACATGGAACAATGAAAAAACCATACTATTGGAGGTTAGACTGGTCTTTAGTTGGAATCTCTGCTCTGACACTTAAGTAGCAGTGTCTTTGGGGAAGTTACTTAACATTTTTTGTCTTTATTCCTTATCTATAATGACAATGATAACAAGCTATCTTGCAGAGTTGCTATACAGATCTGCTGATCCTAGTGTTGGGAACATAGTAATTACTGGTCCTCAATAAATGGTAGTCATTGGTACTCAAAAATGGTAGACTAAAACATGGCTACCCGTTTAAAGGCCTACCTTCACTTGCAGAGATTGCAAAATGGCATTCATGTCAGTAATATTAAAATGATCCCTCTTAAGTTGGTCTAAAGGTTTTAATATTTTACAGTCCATGATCATTTTGCTTACTGAGGTATGGATGTGCATGTGTTATGGGAAAACCTGCTAATTTAGTTTCCCACACTGTGAAATGCTCAGAGGCATATGAGTTCACAGTAGATCAAACATCATTAATGATCTGAAAGTTTTCAGAACACTGGTTACAAAGTAACTTTTTATGCTTTGTGTAATCCTAATTCACCATTAAAAGTTGCTATATATTAATGCATTATTCCCCCATCTGTCTATATTCTCAAGAAGAACTTTTAATAAAAAGACAAAATTTAAATCTTAAACTGAAAATTGTATTTCAAAAGATATATATATATATATACATTTTTTAAAGATTTTATTTATTTATTTGACAGAGAGACACAGCGAGAGAGGGAACACAAGCAGGGGGAGCGGGAGAGGGAAAAGCAGGCCTCCTGCTGAGCAGGGAACCCTATGCAGGGCTCAATCCCAGGACTCTGAGATCATGACCCAAGCCGAAGGCAGTCGCTTAACCGACTGAGCCACCCAGGCGCCCCTCAAAAGGTATTTTAAAGTTTAATCTTCAGGGAAGTTATCTTATCAGACATGGTCTGCCAAATCAGTATAAGGCTTGCAAATGAGATTTATGATCTTTTAAAAAGATCACACTAAAAAACTCATGATTAGTTTTCAATGGTGAAATGAGATGAAAGGATCTTTTTATATAAATGAAAACACAATTCTTTACCTTTGTTGGGAAGTCCTGAATTCTTCTTTTCAAACAGTTTTTGTTCTGTTACTTTTTTCACTAAAAAACAAACAAACAAAAACCCCCAAACCAAAACAAAACAACTCATGTTAAGAATTAGCATGGAATATGAATAATTTCTCATCCTGGGATAACTTCATAAGAAAAAAATAATTTGAAGTAATACATACAGGTATCAAGTACAAACTGCAATATCTTATTATATCTTATTTAAAGAATGAGCACCATATTTTTAAGAAGCTTGATTATCAGTTTGCAAGGCATATTCTTTTCCTTCGTATTCAACAAGAATCCCTGAAGTAACATATCCTGGTAAAAGATATATGGCTTCTTATTCCCTAAATAATACTTCCATTACATGTCCAGTAGTGCCATATATAAAAAAAACTCTATCAGATTTAAATTTGGGAAAAATTATTAGGTTTATCTCTAAAACTGAAAACATTAGAATATATATTTACATTTACAAATAAGGAATGGAGAGATGCCATTGAAAACTCATGAATTTTTCTTACTTAGTTCTTTTGTTTTCTGCATTTCTCTTGGTAAGAAACAGGATGCACGGGAGATACCAAGGAGATTTTCAAGCTCTCTACTGCCCTCCAAAGCCTAAAAGAAAGACATCTTAAATGAGTTAAGTTCTCTACAAATATAATATTATGACAAGTCTAGTGAAAATACAGTTTACTGTTTTTTTCATCTGAAAAAAACTCTGTGGTAGGAAATTTAACTTTTTCTGGCAGGTCAACTACTCCAAGTTTTAAAATGTGAAAAAGTCAGGTATTACTAAAATATTATGGTTAATTCATGTTCATGTAAGAAAAGGAATTCCCATGAAAAGTAAATTAGACATATTCCCTGCAAATTATTTTCTGGATTGGATTCTCCATGCTGGGGCTTCTTTCCTATTTTCCTTTTTCAAATGGAGTGGTAGACATATGAAAAATTATATGCCGAAAGGAAAAAAAAAAGCTAACCTGTATACTGCTTAAGTTTTGCATTATTTCTATGATTTCTTCTGATGATTTCTCCACTTTAGATAGCAACACCATGAATCTATAAATGAAAAAAAAATTAGCACGATCAAGCATTTAAACACATTAAATCATTTTCACACCTTTAATTTTTTTCTTTTTTTAAGATTTTATTTATTTTTTGACAGAGAGAGAGACAGTGAGAGAGAGAACACAAGCAGGGGGAGTGGGAGAGGGAGAAGCAGGCTTCCCGCCAAGCAGGGAGCCGATATGGGGCTCGATCCCAGGACCCTGGGATCATGACCTGAGCCGAAGGCAGTCGCTTAACAACTCAGCCACCCAGGTGCCCCAACACCTTTAATTTTTTTTAAAAGATCTTAGATTCAGTTTTCTAATCCTTTTCTTTACAAAGTGGTAAAAGATGTAAATGCTCCTCCTTCATTATTTCATCCTTTACAAACACAATATATATTCTCAATCATCCTGCATTTGGGATTTTTGCTTTCTTTCACTCCCACTGAACAGGGGGTGAAGATGTGAAGATATAGTTAGTTGGCTTGCTCCTTTCTCCACAGTACCACTTTGAGAACAATAATACACCATTCTCCTTATTTACCTTGATCTAAGTCTATGAGTCAGTGTTACCAGTAATTTTTTTTAATAAAAAATAAGTTTTATGGCTTAATAAATTTCAGTGTGAAAAAGATTACAAAGGCATTAAGTTTGAAAACAAAGAAAACTTCATTTGTAATCCTATCTCCTGAACATATCTCTAGTTAATATGTTAGCATACAGGAAAAATTTCCTTAGTTTTTTTTTGAAACAATTTCTATAACTTTATATCATACTTTCCTTAATATAATATTACATATATATTTTTTTGCCACATCACCCATAGGTTTATAATTTTCAAGGCTGCACAATATTATACCTAGTAAGCATACCAAAGATGACTTAACCATTCCCTATTGTTGTAGTTTTAGTGTTTTTTTCCAATTTTATGATCTCATAGCTGTATATAATCTACATCAGTGCAGTCTAATACAAATAAAATGTAAGCCACATACGTAATTTAAAATTTTCTAATAGCCACATTAAAAGTAAAAAGAAACAAGTGAACTTAATTTTAATAATATATTTTCTTTAACCAATATATCCAAAGTATTATCATTTCAACATGTAATCAATAAAAATTATTGAGATAGTTTATGCTTTTTTTCAAAATCCAGTGTGTACTTTACACTCATAGCACATCTCATTTCAGACTAGTCACATTTCAAATGCTCATTAGCCATGTGTGGCTGCCTAGTGACTACTGTTTCAGAGACCACAAATCTATATTATTGATTTTATGAAAGAAACTAGAAATTTTATTTAAATGCTTTTCAAAAATCACATCAGTGTTATCCATTAACATTTCTGTGCTATTAAAAATAAGATTAATATGACACGTTAAATTTTCATACACAATGAATATGTAGAGTATGTTTCATCCACGTAAAATATGAGTATGCAAGCAAGGAGTGGAGAAACAGCATTTATGCAAAAACTAAAACTTATGCGAGGAAAATGGAATTGCAGGTGATCTTTTTCTCTTTAAAAATTTTCCCTTATTATCATGCATTTCCAATGAAAAGTCACCTGTCAGAGGCCTTACTTGCTTACCACCTGAACCTCAGTTTGAAAGATAGTGACATAAAGGAATTCCAGCTCCTTCCATTGAGCTCCAAAATTCTCAAGGAGCAAGTGGGCTTAAGTGACTCCCACCGAGGGCTGGGAACCTCCAGCTTCCCCTACATTATACCAACACTACTCACTCCCTCAGGGGGGCAAAGCTGAGGCAAATGAGCTATTTCACCATGAGAAGCAATCCTAAGGGCTCTTTACCTCGCATTCTTTTCCTGGGAGGACTGAAGTGGCAGAGCCTCTCTACACTACCTTACCTACCATACCTTAAGGAACTGATGATATTCCGTGTTGACCCTTACGGAATTATGTGGGAAGGATGGGACCTGCAGGGTTGCCATCTTGAATGACTCCAAGGGGCTCTGTTCAGATAGATTAAGATGGGAATGGTGCCCCCAGGAGTTGTGCATGTAGCATCCCCAACAGACCTGTTAATAATTCTGTTTCTCAAGTTAAAATAGTTATTGAGGGGCTGAGCTAGGCAAACTGTTTTCGACAAACTTGGAGAGCTGTAATGGCCTGAACATCAAATAACTGGGGAAATTGTTTTCAAAATATCCTTCCCATGCTTGAGCTGCTTTTGCAGGGAAACTTGTCTTCACTGCATGACCAGTAGACTAGTGGACAGTCCATCATTCTTCTCATTTTTTAAAATTTTAATTTAATTTTTAAGTAAACTCTACGCCTAACATGGGGCTCAAACTCAGGATCCTGAGCTCAAGAGTCAAATTCTCCACTGACTGAGCCAGCCAGCCCATTTTTATTTTAATCTCCTCTCCTCTCCTCCTCCTTTTACTTCTTCCTAGATGAAATCAACTCCTCCCATCTTGATAGCAACCAGTTTCATGGAACGGGTACACACACACACACATTTCAAATCATCACATTATAGACTTTAAATATATACAACTTTATTTGCCAATTACACTTCAATAAAGCTGGGGATAATTACATAAAGAAAAAAAGACCCTTAACCTTCTGCCACACATGTCCTTCTAATGTGTAATCCTGGATTTCCTATTTGTATTCTTCACTCTCTGGCCTAAGCTGTGAGTGCTACGGAAATCTTACAGCAGTATTGATGGTCAATATTACAAGTATATGATTTCCTGGGCCCCTGATGCTGCTTAACTCTTTTACTTAATTTAATGAATATTCTTTTTCTTTTTTTTTTGCAAATCATTGCTCAAAATAATGGTCTAAACCCAATCTCTGTTCCTCCATACTGAAATTAAACTCTTATATTCAGATTTCTGCTTTACTACTCTACTGGTACTATACTCTCAAAGGCCACAAATGAACTCTTAATTAATTCCATTACTAAAAACTTATATCAAAGTTACTACCTGTAAGAGACTGTATTTATATATAATCTCAAAAAACCTGGAAGTTACATGTACATCACAGGGACAAAATCCTGAGGTTTTTCTTTATCCTCTTAATATTATGTCTTACAGAGAAAAAGGTATATAGGTCACAGAACCTCTACTTAATCTAATTGTTTATCTAAACTGATTATTTTGGTAGCTGGATTGTAACGATGAAATATGTTGCTAAGTTTTTTTTTGAACTCTTTCTAAAGTCAAAGCACGGTAGTTGTTACTTTACAAGCTATATCTTAATCTTTAAAATAATTCTCTGTGATAAACATTATCTCCATTTTATAGATACGGAAACTGAAACACTAATTATTCAGGGTTACACAATAAGGAACACAGTCATTGTGCATTCTTTGGGATTTTCTATATATAGCATTGTGTTGTCTGAAAATAGAGATAGTTTTAGGGGCGCCTGGGTGGCTCAGTTGTTAAGCGTCTGCCTTCGGCTCAGGTCATGATCCCAGGGTCCTGGGATTGAGCCCCACATCGGGCTCCTGGCTAGGTCGGGAGCCTGCTTCTCCCTCTCCCGCTCCCCCCACTTGTGTTCCCTCTTCTCTCTCTGTGTCACATAAATAAATAAAATCTTTAAAAAAAAGAGATAGTTTTATTTCTTCTTTTCCAAATGGATGCCTTTTGTTTTCCTTCTTCTTCCCTTCCTTCCCTCCTCCTGCCTAATTGCTCTGATTAGAATTTCCTTTAAAATGTTGAATACTAGTGGTGAAAACGGGCATGCCTATTTTGTTATTGATCTTTGGGGAAGGCTTTCATTCTTCCATGTCAAAAATTTTGAACAGTTGAAAAATAAGTCTCTTGTAAACACTGGTTTCTCTTTTAGTCTTTACTTACCTACAGAATATAGGCATGACTTTATTTTCATTTTAAGTTTTTGATAAGCATGTTCAACTAACTCACTCCTAAAGACCGGGTGATTTAAGCAGAAAAATGAACTATAAATCTGATTCTTGTTGCATAACTGAATGCTTAAAACATAATAAAGAGTAACTCAGACTTACAATTCTTTTTTCCCCCCAGATTTAGAATTCCAGACAGTGGCTACCTGTCACAATTAATTGTATTCATAACAAACAAACAAATAAAAAACCCACTTCTAGCATAATTCTTTACAATTAGAAAGGTTTTATTTGGATTAGTATAGAAATTTTTTAAAAATCTAAAAAAAAAATTGTTTTGCTATCTATAAGAGAATAAGCCAGTGGTTAAAAATAAGCTTTATACAACAGCAGGGACTTTTGTGGTGATGGGAATGTCCTATATTTTGATGGTGGTGAACGTACACATGTGATAAAGTTACACGGAACTAAAAACATATATATACAGACACCAGTGAGTACATGTAAAACTTAAGAAATCTGAATAAAAATCAGTGGACGGTAGCAATGTCAATTTTCTGGTTGTGATACTGTCCTACAGTTTTGCAAGATGTTATCATGTCAGTAAAGTGAGAAACGGGTACACATGATCTCTCTGTTTTACTTCTCACAACAGCATGTGAATCTACAATCTGAAAATAAAAGGTTTAATTGTAGTAAACCTGCAGAAAGATAGTCACCAATACTGTATTTTCATAGCAGTGACAATAGCCAGCAGCAAATTGCCAAGAGGAAGAAAAGCCAATGGCAGTGAATTATATAATATGTTTTCCTTTCAGAGTATAAAGGATATGGAAGTTCACATAAAATATTAATGTGTAGGTGTTTGTTTATAAATGAGCTCTATTGACATGTCACTAACTGCTTGTTTTCTGGGGAAAAAAATTTTAAACCTAGAATGTGGAACTATATTTTCCTTTTGGAAGAATTCTTATATTTAAAACTTAACCAAATTGATTTAATAACAGGATGTCATTTTAGGACATATACATAATTGAAAAACAAAAAGTGTAAAAGTATACATTGTATGCCACCTTTGTATAAAAAGAAATCAGAAAAAAGAAATGAAACAACTTGATTTTATAAAAATAAACATAAGAAAGGGAAACCAGAAATTAATGAATTTG